AATGATGCTACATCCTGATTGGAGCAGAGGAGTATGTGATGTCACCTATTTCCAACTGTGGGAACAGAAATACACAAATCTGTCATGTGAAATAACCAAAACTATTCTAACTTTGGTAGAAAATAGTGTGTTCATATAGGATCTCATCATTTACAATATGAAGCCGATTGGGAAATGATTGATTATGTGATGGAAGAAATGATTGATTTTTCACAATTCTTCATTTCACCTCATATCAAACCTCAAATGTTATTATGATCCAATTTACTTGTCTTGTGCAATACAAACACTCCTTTATTAACTGTATAATATACAGCAGCCAGCTTCATACAACATACGGTGTAATGAAATATTTAGACCATTGTACATTTGTCCAGGTTCAGCTGACCATGATAATTCTGTCATGCCGCAAGGCTGCATGCGGATTAATACAAGATGATCCAATTGCACAACTCACTCCTCTGCCCAGGAGTAAAGTGCAATGCTGGCTTTAAGGTCCTTATGTGTCACTTTCTTTACAGACACAAACATTCTGCAAAGGTCAGGTTTATTTAAGCAGTTGCAACTCTGAGTCACTCGGGATGAGAAGCTAATAATGGTGCTATGATTTTACTGTGATAAAAATATGGTACATGTGATAGGGCTGTCATTTTAATCAAAATATGAACTTTGTGTCTTTGTCCTGTTTCCCTCCAGTATGATTGTCTGCCCTGCCTTAATGTGTTTCACCTGTGTTAATTTGCCCTTTCCCCCCTTCTGTATTTAAATCTCTGTGCTCCCCTTTGTCCTTGTCAGCCCGTCCGCTGTCTTTACATGGATTCCTCTGGATCTCCAATTTCTGTCATGTTTCCTGTTAGTTGTTCTCCAGCGTTTCACTGTGTTATTGGAATTTCAGCTTTTTCTTTGTTCCTGGCTGGTTTATTTTGGATTTGTGTTCTTTTTATCTAAGTTTCCCTTTTGTTTTTTTAATAAAACACCTTTTTCAACTTTCACTTTGGTTTGTCTGCAGTTTGGGTTCAGTTCAGCTTGACTTACTGACCTGTTTTCTAAACTAAGCTAATATAATAACAAAACTCTAGGACACTGAAAAGTAAAAGCAAACTGTAGACAGCAAAATTACTAACAAAATGACATGACAGATGACAAAATGACATTTTTATGCCTTACTATATTTTGACATTTTTATGCCTTCTATAGTATGACGTTTTTGTTACGTTTTATGCCTTACTATACTACAATGTTTTTTGATGTTTTTATGCCTTACTAAAATATTACATTATTATGTCTTACTATATTTTTGTTTTTTTTCCACATTTTATGCCTTGCTATACTATGACGTTTTATGCCTTATTAGACAATGGAGCTTTTTGACGTTTTTACGCCTTACTCTATTATGACATTTTTTCATGTTTTATGCGTTACTATATTTTGATGTATTTTGAAGTTTTTATGCTTTACTGTACTATGACATTTTTGACATTTTTATGCTTTATTATACTATGTTGCTTTTCGAGTGCAGCCATCAATGTTGTTGGAATCGATGTCGTGGGTTACGTCGCCCCAGCCCTAACGTAATCGAGGGCTGTCGTTTAATGTTTAAACAGCTCATCCAGATGACTTGACACTCAAGGTTGCATTTCTGTGGGTCCACAGCAATTCACTCGCAAAGTTTGAAGTCGATCAGATACGCGGTTGTCAAGAAAATCAAAATACAGACAGACATACATACAGAGATTTTTCCATGATTGCTTCAAGTGTCACCTGAAGTCATCTTCATCAGTATCACTTAAGCTACTGCTACCTTTCAGATGGACGAGGTCTGAGCTTGTTTTAGATAAAAGAAATAGTCTGTAAAATTACTGATTCAGCCGACAGTAATAGTTTACTTATCGTGCAAATGAGGTCAAATCTTTAAATTACAAATGAAAACAATGCTTTCATTCCAGGCTTTGTGATGGCCCTACCCATAAAGGTTCCCACTAAACCCCACCCCCTCCCCTCCCCCCACCATCACACCCTCTCTCAATAGAGTCAATAGCCTTGGATAGATCTACAGTGAGTAGGCAAACAGAGTTGCTTTTTTTATGATAATGTCATCAACAGCAGCAGGTGCAGTGGTACAGGTCTAAAGTCTGACTGCTGTGACTGAGGGACATTGTTACCCTACAGGAAGACATGTAGTTGTGAGCTGACAAGTGACTGTAGGATTTTGGACAGACAGGACAGGTTGGATATAGGTCGACAGTTGTTTAAGTCACAAGTGTCATCACGTTTATGCAAATCTGAGAGACACTTTTAAAATCTATGTTTATATGATTCAGTGCATTATATATCTGAATATGTGACAGACCTGAATGAAAATTTGCTATTGTGTGAAGTGAAGAGTCAGAGGGCAGCAATTGTGAGATGTGAGAGTGTTTCCTTTGACAGGAGTTATGGACTCATTATCAAATATGTCACATGATGCAATTATTAAGAAAAGCTTCAACCATGTTACTTTAATTAACCATGGGCCCATTTACCATAGAAGGACTGTGGAGGACTTCTCCTTTAAAGATTTCCCTAATTTCCACAATGCTGTTCCATTACCATTGCATTTTGAAAGGGCAGATAGGTAATAATCAGATTATACTTTCCTTTTAGAGATGAGGACACAGTTCCTCTGCTGTCTGAATTTCTGCCAGGCAGAGCTTGTGCCAGATGCTCTTGCAATAGACCAAAGTTTATTTCTATTACATATGGCTGGAGCTAAGTTCAGGACAAACCCAGGAGGTTGGATTTATTTTTTATTCCAAATGTTTTATAAGGGGCATGACAGTCAGCAGCAATATTAGAAAAATAATGTAGCGCTGAGTCTGGGTTTTGAATGTAACATGTTATTCCGATGTTAGACTGATATAAATCATTGGGAAATCTTGGCATTGGATACATTTTGTTTGAGTTTTCATTCTTTTAGTGTCTCTGACTCGAATTACTGGACAATGGTCACTGATAACCAGAGGCAGAGTAATTGTGGGGTTTGTTTGTTAGAATGAATCAAGAATCAATTATTATAGATTTAGCAGGACTTTTAAAGTTTGGTCTGGTTGCTTTGGATGTCAGTGGAAGTTTAATTCAAGACAAAGATCGTTTAGCTTTTGCACTTTCCTGGATAACCAGTCAAGGCTAAGGGAGAATTAATGCCAATGAGATGAGCATCTAGCCAGAGCAACATAATCGAATTTCAGAGGCATAGTAGTACACCACCTCCTTTACTTTTCCTACGACATATAAATAAGTTATATCCAGTAATTCATCAGGGATCTTGGCACTGAGCCAAGTTTCTGTAAGACTGAAATCTGTCTGGAGCAGTTTCACTCAGCAACATATTTACAAAGTCAGATTGTGGAAATAAATTCCTTGTATTTAGGTGTAGAAGGCAAAGCCCATGGCAGCTCTTAAAAGGGATGAATTAATTTCATTACCAACATTAGATTTGTTTGAATAAGCAGTATTATCAGGAGGATGAGGACTGAGACATATCAAATTCTCTAGTGTAACACTGTTTTGTCTGTAGCTCTGCCTGTGCTGTGAATAGTAGGAACGGTATACGGAGGTGAACAGTTATGGTTACAGTCAGTGGAGAGTGGCTGAGTCATGAGTCCATCTTCGCCAAACAGGCCCTCAATTATGCATAACTTTAAGCCTTGATAAAATTTAAACCGGTGAGTTTTACAATAATTAACCCTCCATACAGTTTTAATGAAGGAGGAAAGTAGCTAGGCCAAGAGACCAAAACCAGTTTTTGTACCAGGCTGCAATCATGTTTATTTCTGCTGTAAAGTTGTGCATCTACACCCTTTAACATGGGAGTCTATGGGGATTCGACTCACTTTTGGAGCCGGTTTTAAGTGGCCATTAGAGGAACTGCAGTTTTTGGCACCGCTGTATTAAACCGTTACCGCTCATATTTTAAACTTTTTCAGTCATAACCTCAAAAAAGTATCAACACCATTCAGAGTCGTCTCTGTCCTGCATTAACTTGTGTGAAGAAATGGAAAAAGAGAGTTTGACAGACAGGTTCAAACACTGCCTGATGTGTCACCGCTGTAAGTAAGTAAGTAAAGTTTATTTATATAGCACCTTTCACAGATGAAAAACACAAAGTGCTTCCCAATAAATAGTAAAAGACATAGAAACATAATGGGGAGACATAAGATCAGACAGGCATAAAATCAGACAGCCATAAAAACCCTCGTTTAACTAAAAGCCTGTTTGAATAACAGAGTCTTCAACTGCTTTTTAAAAGAATCAACAGAATTTAAGCAACGTAAAGAGGGAGGCAGCGCATTCCTCAGTCTGGGTGCCACACTGCTCGAAAGGATCGGTCCCCTCGGGTCTTAAAGTGCGTATGGGGAACCACTAGCAGCCTCTGACCTGATGACCTAAGACTGCGGGCAGGAGTGTGAAGTTGTATCAAGTCAGAGATGTAAGAAGGAATTTGTCCGTGCAAGGCTCTAAAAGTAAGGACCAGAATTTTAAAATGAATTCTAAAATGAACTGCACACAACCGCGCACCTGGCCGATCACTACGTGAAGAGAGCATTTTAGTGATTGTTAGTTCTCGGAGGGAACAAGGCTCCTCAGGTCTGGGGAACCTCCACTCTTTCCTAATGGCTCCTCCCAGGAGTCAGTTGAACCTACACTGATTAATAAGCTGACATTTCTGGTACTTGTGATAGAGCTGTTGTCCTGTTAATCAAATTATCCTCAATTCATCATCTCTCATCTTCTCCCTCTCCACAAGGCCCGAGGTGAAAATGAATTTATAGTCTGAAGCTGCTAAACTCTCCCACAGTGTGAAAATGTATCACTATTTTATGAGTTTTCTCTTTGAGTTGGTGAATAAGCCTAGATGTTTTTACAAAGCAATTTCCGGTAATTGCAGAAGAAGATAAAGAGGTGTTACAGAAGGAAACGGGTTGTGAAGTGAAAAAATGACAAAAGAGAAAATGTTTTTTGTAATGGAAGAAAAGTGTTTTATGTTGTTGCAAGAAAGAGCAGAGATTCAGCCACAAGGATACATTACTGCCATTTAAATGTCTTGTCATCATTTTGTGAAAATAGAGAAATAAACTATAAATCATCCAGTAATGTTTGGAAAATTGGACATAAAATAAAACATTCTGCAAATAACAACCAAAGCTGTTGCATGATGTAAATGAATGCGGTTTAATATCAATAACAAAAGCAAAAAGAGGACAAAAAGGAGATTGTGAGAGATGTTTGCTCAAGTCTAGACATCTGTAGGATCAATAACTCTCCCCATGATCAGGACGAGCCCCGTGAGTTCCTCATACATTATGAGCATGAACGGTCTGTCGAAGGTAATTCTCTGGGGGACGGAGAAGTCCAGCATGATGTCAGGTCTCGCCCCATCTACCGACTTGGACTCTTCCACCTCCAGCGTAACCACATGAGGAGCCTGAGGAGACGTGAGGGACAGAGAGAGAGATGAGGAGAAAGTGAAGTTTAGCAAGTCTCAGGGGTCTCAGCTAACTGCTTTTATGTCTGGTGGTTTCATGGGAAATAAAAACAGGATATTTTGGTTCTTTCTTAACCTTGATGAGTTGCAGCTTCTTCTTTGACGACAGTCCAGAGAAGTCGGCTGAGTCTGAGAAGACGGATGATACCCCAGAGTTCCTCAGGAGCTTTTCTAAACTGTAGGATTTCCTCAGTTGGAACTTAGGGAAACGTATTTCTGCCCTCCTGTGAAAACAACAATCAATGTGTTAACGGATTTGCTCTAAGCTGTCTTGTTACAACTTGTGGGCCCCGTATACTGCAGGCCCTCGCTCGCTGATGTATAGAGAGCAGTAATTATTGCTGACTTAGAATCTACTCAGCATCATTCATCATGCTCCTGAACACAAGAATGCGAGTGACTGCAGGGCAACAGTGAGTGGGAGTTGCTCTGTGACATGGATCAATGTAATGTACATGCAGAGATAAGCAAACACACTTGATAGAGGGCACATACTGTGTACTGCATGGACCCAATGGTGCACTGTAATTGCTAACCTTTGGATTAACATGCTCATGCACATATATGCAGATTCAAGCCGCCACGCATACTTCGCCACTAAACAAATAAGCAACCCAACAATAAATACTACCTTTGTCTAATGGGTCAGTTCAACTAAATTACAAACAACAGCAAAAAACACATTGTCTTATTTACCCTTGTAGTATCTCGCCATGCTATACTATATATCGCTCACATTTCAGCCTACCCGCAACACAATGGAGGTGTCCTGATTACTCTGGGTGCTCTGCAGACCTCACTCTGCACAGTTTTCATAGAGACTATTTCTAAGGTACGAAGTAGTTCCAAAAGAAACTTTGTGTCACAGTGTGTTCTGAGTATTATCCCCAGCAATGGGGTCACTAGTCAGGTTTCCATCCATGTTTCATGTAGTCATTTGATGAAGGTTACAGTCTCCTCATCGGTTCTCACAGATTTGATGTTTTCTCCTGCCTCTATTTCTCATCTCTCCAGTGGAGGAGAAGCTTCAGTGTACTTTCAACTCGCAGGCTTCATGTGCATCATGATTTATTCACCAAGTCTGTTTCCACTGCACACTGTTATGTCTTGTTTTTATCGATACACCAACTTCTCCTCCTCAATCAAGCTTAAAAACTTTCTTGCAACATTTCAGCATTGTTTTGTGTTCCACTTTTTTTATGCAGAAATTCAAAACATGCATAAAAAGCACCGCATGCAAACCCTGATGGCAAAATTAAACTTCTGGCCCAACATATACCTGCATGAGTCTGGCCCATATACTTCCACATCTGGGCGGATTCCAGCTGTTATCCTCCAGTATTGGCTGACAGCCAGAAGATTTATTGTGTTGGTCCAGATGTGGAAGTATCATCTGACAATCATGCTGTAAATGAGCCAGACAGGCTGTGGATCCGGGCTTGTGTTGGGCCAGAACAAAAACAGGCATGTGGCCCAGGTATGGGTAGGACTTATTTTGCTATCTGGGAATGTAACTATTGTTTCTAGAAGTAAGCAATAGTGTGGAAAATTTAAAATGTTAAAAATTTTCAATGTTGCATCACAAATGAAATCACCAGATTATTGAAATAAGTGAGATATTTGGCCTTTCTTGCAGCTTCTTTTTTTTCTGTATTCACTTCAGTAAGAGCTTGATGGGGTGCAAAATGGCACAAGTGAAACTATCTCTCATTCACTCATCCTGAAGCTGCTGACACAAGAGGGAAATGTAGGTAGTCAGAAAAATGAAAGAGTGAGCAGGTACAGTAGCTTGACACGGTTTCCACCTCATCCCTGTTCCAACCATTCGGACTCCCCACCTACCCGGGCTTCAGGTTTCTGAGCCAAAAGCTCATGCGGCTGTCAGACAGGCAGTCCTCGAGGGGTTGCAGCTCGGCTTTAGGAAGAAGGAGCAGTGAAGCCAGACGTTTTGAATGGGCCAGCCGCACCACTGTGGCTGAGCAGTTGGTGTCGTACAGCATCATCACCTCGGACGAGTCGTCCCTGAACATCATGGCGACTTCCACGCTGGTTGTGGCATTCAGCTGGAAGCTTCGTGGGACTGTGTGGCGCTGATTGAATGGCTGACGACCTGATTTATGTGTCATTAATACAGGGAAAAAGGTTAAGGATGAAATAGGAAAATAAATTGGCAAAGAAAGATGTTGCACACCTATAAAAAGCACCTGCTGTGTAAATCTATTACCACCCACGGTCAAAATTGAGCATCTTCTCTCCAAAAAAGACAATGACTGATGAAAAAGCAGGTGCTCAATAGGCTAGATAGAATAAACACATATTGCAAGTAACTAACTATACTTTTCCTAATGTAGCTGAAATTCATTTTCAATTAAGCTTGTTTTTAAAGATGTTTGTTTCTCATCTCAAAAAGAAATGAAGCGATACATCTGTCTGAAGTTCAAATCCTTAATGCAATTTCCCTTGTGTTGGGAACAAAACTATGCACGAACAAAACAACAACTTTCAAACAACAAGAAGCTACCTTTGAAATACACATAATTGTTGAGTATGAGTTTGTCAGAGGCCTGCAAGTCTTTCTTCAGCGTCTCAAAGCTGACGTTGAAGGCGGAGGCTCCTGGGTGCCTGGACAAAAAACTATCATAGTCTATTGAAGGTTTTCCATCAACATGTAGGCTGCTCCACACTCTTAACTGACCCCCAGCACGGACTCCATCTTCACTTCCAGTCCCACCCACTGCCCCATCATCTCCCTCAGTTCTGTTTCCAGCATTCACTCTTTCAAGTTCCACCCCTGCCGTGGCCCCAATCCCACCTCCACTCCTTCCCTCTTGTAGAGTGAGGCTACGCTGCAGATCTGTGAGAGCAGATATGGTGGCTTCAGCGCTCTGCTCTGTGGAGTTGGCTGACAGCCCCAGAGTCTTCAGGGCCTGGCTCCGACTTTCAGACCCAGAGACTTGGGACAGCAGGCCCAGAGCTGACGCCAGGCCCAAGGGCGAGAATAAGATGTTGTGTTGTTGCTGCTGTTGGACATCAGGTTCAGCAGTGGTTCTGGTGGCCAGGTCACGGTAAAGGTCAAAGGCCAAGGCTGTGTTTAGGGCTGATGTGTTGAGCTGCTGCTGCTGCTGCTGCTGCTGCTGCTGCTGCTGCTGCTGCTGCTTGACCTCTTGGTCCTTTCGCAGAAAGAGTTTCTCAGGCTTTGGTGCAACCGACCCATCTGCTATGAAACCTGTTAGCAATGCTAGCACTGTAAAACTATACACAACAGACATCATCGCCTCTTGTCTCGCCATCCTAGTTCAGCCTGATTAACAGACGCTGCAGGTTGATCACACACAAGACCAGCCAAATTCCAGCTTTGGGGAAGTGTTGTTCTCATGGCTCGGTGCGGGGGTGGTGGTAGTGTTGAAAGTATATCGATCTATGGGGCTGAGCTTTTGACCTATGGGTTGAGCTCCAAGCAAACAATGGCAGCATGTTTTTCAGATTCTTAGAATTTCACCAGCAGTGAATGTGTGTTTCTGGCAGACAGTTAAGGACAGTGCAGACTCATTCCCCCCTTTAATACACACTCTGGTCAACATGGATTTTGAACACTTATGCAACTGATGCACACTTAAATTTGGCTCTAGTTTCGCTGTGCACACAATGGTACTCCAACAAAGGCATTATACATGTGCCTAATATGTCTACAGTCCCTATAAATACAGTATTTACATGCCTGATTCTATCTTGTGGAAAGCACTAGGAGATATATGACACAGAACCGGTATTTTCTTTCTTATTTATATCTTATAGTCATGAAATTTTATGAGAAAAGCCTGAATTGTTGATCAACTTTAACTCATACAGTATCTGAGATGAAGACAATGAAACAGTATACGTTCTAAGCCACAAGTGACACAGTGAGTGAGTCTATGAAATGTCAAAGCGCTCATTAAATATTTTCAGCTTAATCTCGCCACGTCAATACAGCCTCTAATTAAACAGCAGGTCCTATGGATTCCTCAGCAGTCGACGGAACGCTGTATAGACAGTCTGTCAATGTGAGACAGTCGCTGCTGTGATGCTGCAATGCCACCATGTGGATTATCTCTGTTATAAAAATACATCATGTAAAGAAAGCATTTTGGTTATGCCTTCGACAAAAGCACCTCACAAACCATGGTTAATAATGTGTGTAGTTTAAGACCGAGCAGCTGAAAATCTGTGTAACAATAGAGATCGGTATTATGTATTTATCTGAAACTACAGTCCAAGTGATAAATTATAGCTGCTGGATGCAAGAAGCAAACATAATCATTAAATGTTGCCTTGAGGGAAATTTAGTGACACAGATAAAGAGTCAACCCAGCCCTAAGTGTCCCTGTTTGGCTCATTAGTGGAAACTGGGCTAATAAGCATATCTTAATAAGAAGGGTTTACTGCAGGGGGGCTCAGAGGTTCATTTGAGGTAGGATGAGGCAGCAGTAGAACAGGATCCACAGGGCCAACAGCATTTCCAGCTCTAATGGGGTTATGTCACAAGAGGCTGCTAAAGACTGAATGAATCCTTCCTCACTGCTGGAAAGTAGATAAAACACAGAGTTAGATTCAAACTAAAAATAGGCACTAACTTCTTATGAAGAAATAGATGTTATATTAGAGCAGTAAAACAAAACACTGACAAAAATGTAATTATCTGTATAGTTTGTGTGAATGAACTGACCGTGTGCGAAACAGTAACTGTTCCATTATAGTTTTTTAGCTTTTGCAAAACCAAAATCACATCAGCACAAATGTCAGAAATGTATTAAACAAAAGCTGCAAATGTTCACATGCCCAGCCTATTAGCATACAGTGGTAACTTAGCATTATTTTCAAGGACAAGAGGCATTTCATCAGCTAGTTACCTTCATTATTTTGTGGGGATACACGAGAAAAATAGTTGTTCAGGACTGGAGATCTCCACCCAGTGGGAACCAAGATGCTAATGTATCCATCTGTCCTGCTCTTTATCTGGTTTGGGGACATTTACACTCCAGCACTTCCTGCCAAATGTGCATTAAATAGCTCTACATTTGCCCGTATCAATCAGTTAATGCTCATACTCAAATCTTTTGAAAGTGAAGCGCTCTCTTTGGATTTCCATGTCTTTTACACTAGTGACTTTTAGCTGGGACTTTACCCTTTTAACTTACCATAGTCTTTTAGCATTGTATTATATATATGTAGCTACCAAGTATACCTAACAAACACTGTTACGGGGGTTGCCTTTTTAGAATAAATCATCGTAAACATTGAAAAGTCGGCTGGTTTCAACCAACACAGTTTTACTGTTAGAATTAGCTTATTCCAGCTGGCTACTGCTAAACTGTCACTATTTCAGCTGACAAAATCCTCACTTATCTGCCATAATGAGGAGCTGCTTCTGTCAACTTCTGTGTGTCAAAGACCCACTGGTCCAAATAGTTTGTGTATGTGCCACCATTACCACTGTGAACTGCATTATGAGCCATAGTAGACTGGAAAGGTTGACAGGCATATCAGCTAAGGGGACCGGTGCTTCAGGAACAGACAATTGTATTTGTACTCATGAATCACAAATGCCATAGCCCACCTGAATGACTGAGAGGTTGCACTGCAGGCAGAAGTCCAACTGTCTTCGCCGGCACGAATGTTAACAACTCTATCAGTGTCATTTTTTGGGGTAGTTTCACCCAGATGGTCTATTGTTGTTACCTTCTTGGCAGTTAGTTTACGTTTCTTAATCTTCAGTCCCCCGTCTTTCTCATCCACTGCCACAAAATCCTTTGAATTTGCGACTGCACCTGTGTATTCCTCCGTGTCTTCATCTTTGCAGTTCTTTGTTAAATCTTCCATTCTGGGAACAATGTGTTTCCTGTCATTTCCTTCTTCTGAGTGACCTCCAGCTGCACCAACACCTTGGACTTCATCAATGAATATTTTTTCATTTACTCCTACCCCTGAACCTTCTTCCCTCTTGATATTATCCTCTTCCCCTACTCCCTTCCCTAACTGTCTATCCTGCCCTTCCTCAAATGCTGTCAAATTTTCCTCTTCCTCTTTGTCGATTACTCTCTCCTCACTCACTTGTACACATCTTACAGAAAGCCCTCTGTCAGTGTCTTTCTCAACGTCGTTCTGCCAACTAGGCGTTTCAAAAATCTTTGCTTTCTCTGCTTCATCTACCAGAGCCTCTGTTTTATCATATCCATGTGTCACCAATCTAACATTTTCTACCTCCTCTGTCTCACTCTCTTCCTCACCATAATCATTAATCTGGTTTCTAACTCTCTCCTCCTCCTCTTTTCTACTGCTTTCATCCTCTGGTACTGTGTCAAACACAGGTCTATTGTGTGTCATATCTCTGAAACTACTTTCATTTTGGTCCAAATCAAACCTCCTGTGAACCACTGACTGAGACCCGACTTCAGATTCTAGATCAAAATCTGCATTTTGCACAACGGAGCCTTCCTGAAGTTTACATCCACCACTTCCATTTAATATCTCACACATTTCGGGATTCTTTGACTCTTCATTCATTTCTTCAGCTGTTTCTTCTTTGACGCTGAGTACTTGTCTTTTCAGCTGATTATATGGTTGAAAAACCTCTTTGTTCAGATCCAGGATGTAGCTGTAGGCATCCTCCTCATCTGAGTCCAGCGTTGACAAGCTGTAGATTCCCTCCTCTGAGCTCAAAGAAAAGTGATTCTCATCCACTCTTGGCTTGCTGTAGGCCTGATCCAAGCCCTTCTCCAGCCACGATCGGATCTCCTGGCTGACTACGCCTGCATCCAGCGGACTGGGTGGCTGCAAAATGCTCCTACTCCTGCCTCTCTTTTTGTTGAATTGTGAGATGGCAGCACTGATGTCACTTTCGCTGGAGGAATCGCCAGATGCAACTGTTCCATTTGTGTAAAGCGAGGTAGTACGGGTGCCCCCTGAGGATCTTCTGGACCACCGTTTCCACAGTAGCTGCTCGCTGCTCTTCTCTAAGCCTCTGAGTAAAGCTTGAGCTTCTGTTTCGTCAGTGAGGATCTCTCCAAAGCCGACTGACTCAAGGGATCCAAAATTTGGGATCTCAGGAACTTCAATATTTGTTGTATGATCCTGTAATAAAAGGTATATTTAATGGTAGTTACATTATACCACTGAAAATAATGAGATAAGTATCTTTGGTTCATGGTGTTTGTGAAAGTATGTCTTTGCTGTTTAATGGATAGTTTGACATTTTGGGAAATTCCCATGAACAGTGATATTGTGTTCCTTACCTTTACATTTGATGGACTGATCTGGGATGTTTGGATTTAACTTATATGACTTATACTTATATTTAGCTAAGCTAACCGGCTTCTGGCTGTTGCTTCATATTTAACAGACTCAGATATGACAGAGGCATCAATCTTCTCATTAAACTATCATCTTCTCATCAAAGAGAGCGAATACATGTATTTACTAAACCAATTCAATGCAAAACATTTTTTAAATGTGTAAAGCCATACCAACCTCATCCATGCCTGAACAATGCCCCAGGAACAGAGAAACATAGGTAATGATGGACTGCTCATCTGGTGAAGAGTGTGCCACATCTGTGGGTAGAAGGATAAACTGTTCACAAATCAGCAGGATGGACTGTTACTAGGGAGACCTTCCTGTAGTTGAAGGACCAGTTCATCTCATTTCTAGTGAGGCCAGCTTGGTCTGCAGTGGGACTAATGTTTCTGATACTTCCTAGGGTCCTTTGATAGGTGTCACTATTCAGTTTCTAGCACCTACTTAGTGTGAGTGCACTTGGTAGGTGAAAGTCATTCAGATGTCTGTCTTTGTGGATGAAAACAGATCAATGTGAGGTGCTTTTACCTTCAGGCTCCAGTAGAGGTGTTATATCCAAACTGTGATGGGCTATCATGAAGGCCTGCTTAATGTTTTCTCTTGGCTCTCTGGACAAGCTCTCTCTCAGGTCAACCAAGTCTGGGTTTACATACTTAATCACAGCTAGGAATGCCAGGCCACTTCTCCAGCTCTTCCCAAAGTCATACACCTCCACCCCAAACCTGCATATTTAAAATTGCATAATAGCAAAAAATTCATCTCTAATTATTGCCAGCTCAGACATTTTTGTTCACTCATTGGGTTCCAGATGTTTCACTGACCAAAATGACTTTGTAAGCGATTGGATCTTTTTCAAACTTACTTTGATGTGCATCTTTGGACCCACTGCAGGAGAGTCTTGATTGCTTTCCCATGGTACTTTGGCTTCCTGGCAGCCTTTCTGCCTTTGCTTGGCAGGGTGTTGCAGGAGTAGCAGCCAATGTCGTTTGGTGGGGGTGAGAGGTCACTGAAGGAGGAGTAACTGCTCATTGATAAAGAAGATAGGCTAGAAGACAAATGCCTCTGGAGACTTCTTGCCACCTCCTTTACCTGTTTTACAGCAAAAGAGCTGAGTGTATGTAAGGTGAACAACAAAGACAAACACCTGGTCAAGACGTGAGATAATGGATGATAAGAAAACAACCTACCTGGAAGTGCAGGATGATGTTCCAGACAAGATTAAGAACAACAGAAGGGATACCATCAGCAATACCAGAGGCATCGATGCCAAGCAGCTTCACCTGAGAGACAACAGGAAGAGGATGTCATTTGAAATCTAGCTTTTACGGATTTGAAAGTCAATGGAATATATATGAAACCAATATCACTGTATCAGCTGTTAAGGAAACACACTCACATGTCTATCATCAAGGAAAGCCAGGGCCTTGGAAATGTTGTTCAGTCTGAAAATGCGGTGAGAAGATGACCTAAACCTGTAAAGCTAACATAAGAAATGACATATATATATATATATATATATATATATATAGCTCCTATCAGCAGCCAGTTAGCTTAGCCTAGTTAGCTTAGCCTCGCATAAAGACAGGAAACACAGGGAAACAGCTAGCTTGGCTCTGTCCAAAGAAAGATATTTATTTTTTGTTACCTATTTCTTGGTCACAGTCAATTCACGGAGTCTCTGAAGTTTGCTTGCTAACCTCACAGCAACAACAGGACTCCAGGAAATCACTGACGCAACAAAAAATAGTCTGGCAAATGTTTTTACTCTTCAGTTTTTGGACAAACTAAACAAACAACAAGATATACTGTGTTAACTGAACTTTACATGTACTAGTAGACTCCTTTTGGACAGAGCCATGCTAGCTCTTCCCCGTTTTCTACTCTTTATGTTCAGCTAAGCTAAGCTAATTGGCTTCTAGTTGTAGCTTTGTATTTAGCCTACTTCACAGCTATGAGATTTGCATCAATCTCTCAGTGGACCCCTGGAGGACTAGTGACCACTGTGTGGACACTAATGGGGACCCAAAGAAAGAAAGAAATAAAATAAATAAAATCTCAGCAGGAAAATAGATAAGCATATCTTTCAAAATGCCAAACTATTTCTTTAAGTTTCAGCATTTATGGGAAAGGTTCTTGTTTACTTAGCAGTGTCAGTTTATTTTGAATTACTTTAATGGATCATACAGGCTGGCGATTATAGTGCAAAGCTAATAAACTGAACTGAAATTGGCCAGAAGAAGTTAAATAAAATGATAACAGCGTAATATATTTTTCTTCTTCTTGGTTAAATAATTTTTTTTCACTGTAAAGCTTGATTCTTACTAGTTTGCACCCAGACAGCTCCTCCAGCAAGGCCATGAGTATTCTGCCATCCTGAATGTCTGTGAACAGGTCGTGCACTTCAACTGGAGGATCACACTGAAGATAAGAAAACATGACCCTTACTGGTGATTACAGGAAAGAAAACAGTGAAATGTTGGTATAATACTGTTTTGATTTGTGCCTTACTCTCTGCAGAAACAAATTCAGCCACCTGGTGAAGGTTCTCTTCTGCACTGCTTTCCTCTCATCTGGGGAAGAGAAAACAGGGACTTGGCACAACAAATGCTGCAGTTTTCCAAGTTAACGGTGTTGCAACAGTGCTTTCACAAGCCTGATTAAATGTAGTGCACAGGAGGGTTTGTGGTTAATATAATAAGCAGGAAGAGTCTGACAGAATATTGGAAAATTACATGTATTTTTACAATATGAAGGTATTTGAGATAAGAAAACTTGTCTTTTAATGTTCCTTTTATTATAAATTTTACACTAGGGAGAATTTTAGAGACAAGTAAAAACATTGCATGTGATTGGGTAATCAGATGCCACAATGCCAAAAACACCTCCCTGGAAAATCACTATAAGGAAGGAAGTTAAGGAAGGAAAAAATACATAAATGTTGTCTTGCAAAGTATTCTCCTATCAAAAGTACAATGAAGTTTTTCTTGTATACACAGTGATTTAACTAATGTTATTATAACACAGTGGGTCCGTATTAAGCACCGGCTTAAGACAGTATTTCTTGTCACTGTACCTTGAGGCTGCTGCAAATGTTGATCGCTGATCTCTCCAAATGATTTCTCTTGTGAATCGCAGTTGGCCCTCTCCTGCATACTCATTTAGCAAATGTCAGGTACTTGTAGCAATAAGAGCTGTTCTGAGGTCTCCTTACAGAATAAGGATGAAGAAAATGCGAAGTGAGGAAGTGTGTCTTGCCTGAACACGCTGAAACCTACCTCTGAGGTGTTGATCAACTCTACCTCCACTCCCCCCCCGAGACAACTCGGCCTGAATCCTATTGGCAGGCTGCAGTTCATAAAACTATGTCCATGGAGGCAGCTGCTCAGTGTGCTGGGACCTTTGAGTATTAAAATGAAGGAATCCGCTGGGATCACTGGGTTTCAGGTTGTATGGTTTTCCTGCAGAGGCCAGTGATAAATCTTTCTGGCAGCTATAGTGATTTACTGACATAAATACCTGAATTTCTCCTGAGCATGTTCAAGACAGACTGAAGGAATGAGTAGAGGTAGCCAAGGTTTTGACTGGAGTTGCTCTAGAATATTTTTTAAAAAAGACTTTTGTTACAGTGTATTGGGCAAATGAAAGATTTTTAAATCTGGTTTATGAATGAATGCCAATCCTGATATACCCTTTTCAGACTTACTGCACATTAGTAATAATATAAGAAAAGTAACAATATGGATTTTAAAAGTTCAATATGTCATGCCCAATGAAAAATGTGTATTATAATCCTTTTACAGTGCTGAAATGTAACTAAGTGCATTTACTCAAGTACATTATTTAAGTAAAATTTTGATGTACTTTCCACTTTCTTTGACTTTATACTTTTCACTCCATTACATTCATTTGACAGCGAAAATTTGTAACTGTGCAAATAAATATTATACACACAAAACATGAGGTGACCTGCTAAAATATGAGCCATTATTATAGATTAAACTGCCCAATAGCATAGAAAGTAGGCTACCGTACATAAAAATGTGATCCACCTCCACCAGCTACAAGAAGAAACCTTTTAAATCAGCTTGTATCAACTGTAACCAGCTTAATTGTAGTCACTCTTCATTTTGGAAATTTATGACATCTAATAGAGACTAAAGTCTAATAGACTTTATAAAATAGTAAAACATGGAGTAAAAGTTTTTAATTATTGAAAGAATATCTACAGGAACCTAACCCCTCATTTTGGATCTTAATGTGATTCACTGAAATTTGTGTAAAACAAGTTGTGAAATGCTTTTCACACACTGACCCACATTTTATTATAATTCTGTGCTGTTCCTAATTCAGCCTCACCAGGGAACTTTGATGCATCTTTAATGTGAGAAATCTTCTAACAGAGAACATAATCACATTCAAGAAATCTGCAGTACATATTTCACGTCTCATTTATTAATCATTACTGTCATCAAATTAAACAGATCAGAAATGTGACGATGCACATTCAAGAAAACAGTTACATGAAGTCAGCACTTCTTTACTTTAATCTGCAGTAGCAGCAGATGAATAAAGATGAAAAATATCTGTTCTTAGCTGGTCTGCAATAGTTTTAATTGTAAAACTTTTGAGAAGACCTTTTAACCTAGAGAAAGAAAGATAGATAATTGACTGGGAAGGGACAGATGCCTTGTGTGTAACCTGTTATTTCAACCTTCACCCATTGATTGCCTTAACCTATCATCTGAGTGTTTGAGTTGAAAAGAGGACTGGACTGATGTATTTAGTCACCAGGCCTAAAGAGGAATTTCTAAGCCTAGCACGAGCAATGATGACACAGTGACGTAAAAACATGGTCTTCTGGGTTTATTTTAATCAAAGCAGTACTGAGTGGAGGGGAATAACAAACTCAGAGATAAGACTGTGACAGCTGAAAGTGTCTGACAGGAAGAGCTTCCCCTGCTTCAAACAATATCTGGCTGCCAGGTTTTACTCTACCTGCTTCAAGAAAGGTGATGGCTACAGAGCGAGACCATCACCACCGTGGAAAGCAGGGGGTCTGTCCAAGGAAGATCGCACGTGAAGCTCCTGAGCCTCCAGAAGTCACGCCTTTTCATTCTTTGAGTTGATTTCTGCAACCTTGTTGTACCCACAGGCAACAGTTCCTGCGAGGGGCGACGTCACAAGGCTGCAAAGACCAGTAACATCAAGCATACAGATAGTTGTGATGCACACTCACCTTATACTCATTTACATTTCTAGTATTATTGCATCACACTACATCCCAGTGTAAAAAGATTACATAACACCTAGATATTATGAACATTCTCATTTTTATTAAAACATTAACAGTATTACTTGAAAATATAGAGGATTCCAAACTTTCCAACAATCCTAATTCCGCAAATTAAAGAAAACCCCAAGTATGACTGACAGTTGAAACATGAGATCTAAAAACAGTGATTATAAAAACCATAATAAAGACTTAGAAGAGCCCCTACATGCCTTCTTTCACACTGGGACACTGATGACCATTGCTTGCTTAAAATCATACGGGGGGGGGGGTCCTGCCTATTAAACTAGGCAGTCCGCCGAGTCCAAAGGTAAAACAGGCTCCACCAGTTCAGTTTTGTCAGTTCAGTTCAGCAGTGGATCACTTTGCTTCCTTTTGTACAGGGCTCTTCAACGGGTTCCAAATGTTTTGCTTTGTGAGGCTGTGTCCATCTCCCTCATGACTTCGTCATGTCTCACCCACTCACTGCAGGCCAGAGTCATTTCTTCCCCATGATGAAGCTTGGGGCCTCTGCATCGTCCTCAGCCTCTCTTTCCTCCTCCTCCTCCTCTTCTTCTTCTTCTTCACTGGACTCCGAGCTCTTGTCGGCGTCGTCTTCTTTCTTATTTTTAGTTTCCAGTTTTGCCTTCTTTGCCATCAGCTTCTTCTGCTTCAGCTTTTCCCGCTTCTTCCTGCGCTTGGCCGTCCTCTCATCGGCAGCCTGTTTGTTTTGTTCCACCTTATCCAGATAGTCCAGGTCCTTATCTACCTTCTCTGCCATCTTGTCCAGAAAGTCCTGTCTCTGGTACTCTCTGCGGCGGAGGTGCCGATAAACATGGAACTCGCCGCTGCCTGCGCCGGCGCTGGAGCCCATCACATCCCGGACGAACTCCGGCGGAGCCCGCGGGTTCCACTCTTTTGGTCGGTCCGGGATGGGAGCAAGCTTATCAGGATTGCGCATCAACCTTTCTAACTTCAGACGCTGTTCCTCCGCTGGGGTTTTGGCGATTATCAGAGGCTGAGCCTCTTTTCCCCCAGGTTTCCCCGGTTTGTTATTCTTTTGTGTGTGCGCCGCCATCTTTCAAATCGTCGCCGTGTTCTTCCTGCTTTTTCACGTCGCCTCGGAAGTACTTGAGGGCTGCTGTAACCTGGAAATAATTATGTTATTTTTCTTTTAGTATTTGTTTTTTCCAAAGAAAATACAAAAGTGAATCAGTATGCGATACTGACTGTGGTGACATTAATTTACTTTTATTAAATCGTCTTTTTGAATGTCAAGCCTTGTGTAACTGATGTAACTGACGTGTGGCTTTACCAACTGCAAATCAGATTAGATTTTGTTTTGGCGCAGCTGTCCAATCGACGTTCAGGTCCCGCCCCTCCTTGCGAATGTGCGTGAAGTGTGTTGACTGACTGGTTTCACTCCGGCTTGTAGCCAAGAAAGTCACTTTAGACGACATTTCTTCTATTTATATAAAGATATAACAAACCAAATATCATGAACAGCTTACTTAGATCTACTGCTCGGTGTCTGCGGTCTGGGGCAGCGGTCTTTCTTCCCAGACAAGCCGACGGTCGCGTGTTGTCGGCCCCGGCCCGGCTTCTGTGCGCGGCCGCGGATAACCAAAAAGACCTTGGTGAGATGGTGAAGAAGGACAAAGTGGTGGTGTTTATGAAGGGGACGCCGGCACAGCCCATGTGCGGCTTCAGTAACGCCGTGGTTCAGATCCTCCGGATGCACGGGGTAGACGACTACGCCGCGTACAACGTGTTGGATGACCAGGACCTCAGACAAGGTCAGTAAACTTCAGTGAACCCTCCACGACATGACAGCAACAAGTGTGTCACCTCAGTTTAACTTTTAACCAGACTTCTTAATAACAGATAAGTGGAGACATTGCTTATACTTATTTTACCCTGTGTTTATGTCTTTAATAGCCTGTTAGTTGTCTTTCTATTACACCATTTAGCCCAATTGTTCTTATTCAAACAACCATACTTATCAGCCCTTTGTCAACGGCTCTTACAGGGTATTTTTTGAGATTTCATGTTAGGTTTTTATCAGTGCTCTGCAGCAGGACCAGAGGGTGTGGTGCTTCAGGACAGACGTTACACCATCTTTTCCACCAGCCTTTTGGCTAGCAAAACTTATATTCTAAACCATATTTTGTCATGACTGGAGTCTCGTCTGTTTTAGCCATGTTGAGGAACCAGGAAATGCGTTCTTCCAGTTACATCAGCACTGACCTTTTAATGAGATGTCAATACAGGCTAAAGTCGCAACAGCAGTGTAATGCCTAGTGTTGACATACAGTAAGGTGAGAAGGACAGACTGACTGAATAGGGTAGTTGGTTTTTCAGGGTTAAATTGGGGCAGATAATGCTATTTAATACGTTTAGAGAGAGCAGTACTACATTACGGCCACAATACAAGCCGTAAACAGTTAAATACCCCATGATGCTCGGTTGTAGTGCAGTTTGAGTCTCATTGTGTCCCTTTTATTTCCCAGGACATGGGGTCAGACGGACAGGATGTTAATTGTAAGAGTGCCAAAAGCTAAGAATTTCCTAACAGTGAATGTAAAATGCCTAACTTTTCAAGGCAAGTGCTGTAACTGTTGTCAATACAGTAGTATAAAACTTTAGAAAGCATTTCACAGATGTATTACTAAAGGGGAACACCAGCGATTAAGCATTGTGCTCTTCAAAAATTTGGGGACTCACAACTGTTAAAGGCAAAGTGTGTGTGCAATCTGTGGAGTACTATTTTAACAACATTTTATTATTAATATTTGGCAGTAAATTTTAGTTTTAGTTTTCAACCAGCTCTGCTCACATTTGAATGGGTAATCCTACTGTACAAGTTCTTATAAGGCAGCACACCCAGTCGGCACCATCCATCACACATAGTCTTCTAAATTTGGATGCTGTCATAATGTTATTTATTTCTAATATTAATCAAAAGAGGGCAGCTTAATATATGTTCACACAGGCTACCAAAAAGTACTTATTCAATCTAATGCTGAGCTTTATAAACTATTTATTTGTGGATTTGTCATTGCTGTAGGCGGAGTTTCTGTTATGATCTCCAACACTGCCAACGTCAACTACTCAATTCTTCTGTTTATAACATACAAACTACTCTTTCATCACTAGCTGCTGTTAAGAACTCCTCCAGTGATTCTTTATATTTGTTTTTGTGTACTTCAGTCTCTGACACTCATACCTTCTGTCTCCTGCAGGAGTAAAGGACTTCTCCAACTGGCCCACGATCCCTCAGGTGTACTTCAATGGCGAGTTTGTGGGAGGCTGCGACATCTTGCTCCAGATGCACCAGAACGGAGATCTGGTGGACGAGTTAAAGAAGCTGGGTATCCATTCTGCACTGCTGGACGCTGAGAAAGAGTCCAAGTAGAGGACAAGCAGAAACTTCAAAACCGCTGACAAGACAGAGGACACATTCATCAGGTTGAAGCCCTACTCAGATGATCGTATATGAATCAACTCTCTAGGCAGCCATGGGCAAAATTCACCCCGAGTGCAGATTAGACTTTAATCTTGGAAGAAAAAAAAGAGTCTTCACAGGGATTTCAAAATACATTTTACTCACAATAAATCTGTACCATATTTCTCACCTTCTCTTTAAAGCTGCAATAACAATGTTTATTTTTGGCCACTTGGGCACAGCAGAAACAAATTGCCATCAAAACAGTGACATATTATCACCTTTTCAGAGAGATGCGGCAAACTTGTTAGCATTCTTTTCGAGTTCTGTTTCTGGCCACCTGATGAATGGAAGTCCAACATTCACTCTTTTCACTCTCTTTTCTAGCTCAGTTGTGGTCTCCACATCCAGAAAATACATTTGCCCCTTTAGCTGCTAAATGCTTCGTTATGCTCACCAGCTAGTTGCTAACATTGTCGGTCTGGTGTTTGGTGCAGTGCATGTTTCATAGAAAACAGCTGCCTGAGGTAGAAAATGTTTTTATGAGAGCTGTGAGAGTGAACCAAAACAGTAAAGTTGGAGACCAAAAAACCAAAACAATGAACTCAAAAGGCATTATAAAACTCCATAGAGGTGAGGGGAACTGCATTCTCTGACTTCATCATTAAAGAGCAACCCCTTTCCCATTACAGAGTTTTTTGATCCAAAATATTATTAGTTTTAATATTTCCATATCACCTAACACAGTTTCTATCATATCTCCATTCACAAAATTCAGAAATTTATAATAAAAGATGTTGTAAAAGCCAAAATATTAACCATCCATATCAGCATAGTTGTTGGAATCACAAGCTTTTGGGGATAAATACAGCAATGAACATCTAACAATAACCCCACTGTTGTATAAACCATTTCAGGGTTGGACTTTTACTGGCTAAGGGTCAGAGTGTCAGGTTCCCTACCCATGCTTTAATTGGTTTACATAAGAGTGCTGGTAACCTGCCCTTTATTATCCCTGCTACCTCTATTGTCAGCCCATTTTCTCAAGCAATTTATAACCCTGCTGAGGTCACACCAGGAAAAGATGTCATCACAACAGAAACCTTCCAAATGCACTACCTGTGAGTGGAAATACTGGAAGGAAGAACAAAGCGGGGACAATACATTTCAATATTGTCATATGTTAGGGATTGATAAAGCTGATGAGGGTTCATAATACTAAACCACACCACATATGAATTTGCTTTTGTTGTGAAGGTAACTACAGACATTGACCACACCTCACTGACCTCGTTACACACATGCACTGTCAGAATAGCTTCGACGGAGCCAACAACTTTGTCCCCTTGTTGGTTCTTCCTGCCAGCAACTACATACAAAATGTGTCCCCTGTGTTTTAATGTCTACTACTGCTGAAAGGCAACAAACATACCATGATACCTTTATCTGAAGATGACTGATTGACAGCACATCTGGACAAGCAGGAGCAGTTATATTTAAAGTTTGTTTGAATATGTTCATGTCTGGTATCCGTCACTGAAGGAAAAGTAGTGTTTTGTTTTTTTTGTCACAGCCTCTGGACGTCTGATCATTTACCAATCCCACAGTAGATGTTCCTCCTGCCGCACACAGTTGTATTATCAAAACTATGGTCATGTAGTACACTGTAAGATATTGTACATTAAAAGCATATTATTAAATGTATTTTAGCTGCATGTAAACCCTGTACCAATTAAATATTTTGTGACACAAATAACAAGCAAACTGCATTTTCTTTTATTATTATAACCTCTAATATGTGGGATGACATGAAGGCAGTGACATCGCCACACACATTTTGTACAGGTCAAAGCAGAAAAACACATATTATGTAAAGCAGACAGCTTTTTTTTTTAAAAGCTGATCTATTGGCACAGTGACCGTGTGCACCATCAGCTGATGCATTAAATCTCTATCTGCTCAGAGAATAGAGACGAGCACCTCAGGGAAACAGGCATTCAGGTTTTTTTATCTACCACATGTAATTACCCAGATAAGAATGCCAAGTTCTGTATGTATTCAGGCCACTGTTTTAAAATACTAATCCAAAGTATAATTCTACGGGCCATTGCTTATAACACCATATACCAAGCTACCTACCCAAAAGCCTCCCATCCACAGAGTTTGATGGCTTCTTTCATGGCAGACATTTCGACCCGTCATGGCAGGAAAAGCACAGGTGTTACTGATAACATTAACACTGTATTCAAGCTTCTCAATAAGTTACGACGGAGTGACAGCATGCACAGTACATGGACCCCGAAACCGAAGCGTCTCAACTGAATTCAGCCATCATTCATTTTATTATTTAGACCTGTGCTGTGACGGGTCAAAATGCCTCCTGTGAAAATAACCTGTAATTGCTTTTTCAGTAGAGGTGCACACGAGAGAGCAGGTCCATTTTTGAAAAGCACAAACAGAAAATTTCATTCAGATAAAGCTGGGAACATTTTGCAGCCAATTAAAGCACAACTTTTACATCTGGATATTTCCAACATCTCGAACTGACAACATGAGATCTGGATTTAACTTGTAATTCAGAAACTGCAAATACCATTGTAGTTACTTCTATAAAGTTGTATTATGGAAAATACAAATTACATGATAATAGAATTAACCCAGAGGAACTTGCTGTACATGGTTGTTGTGATTATTCTCATTTCCTCCTCTGGAAAAGCTCATGACTGATGATCTCCGCATTTTCATTTGTCAAGATGATGAGGTTGCAGTGATGAAAGACTCACTGAGATGACGTTTAGCATTCTTTGAAAAATCTTTTAATACAAAATACTATTTTACAAAATATAACTGGACTTCAAAACAAAACTATTGTAAATGTTACAGTGTTAGGGGGACAGTTGAGTTCACAGCTCTTTACCACGTCTCCCATCCTCATGTCCTCATGTTGTTTCTGTCCACAGTCCAGTAAAGCACGGACACTGTTAAAAACAAACCAAAGGAAGGGTTTGAAGAGGAATCAGGTCAGAGTTTCTGCAGGAAGCGGAGCACCAGGTCTCTCAGTGTGGTACGCAGCGGCTCGTTGTTGTCACAGACTATGTGCGTCCCGTCCTCCTCCAGCTGGATCAGTGTGTCCTCTGCCTGGAGGTGCAGGATGTGTCCGTCTGCCGTCTCCTCCACTTTCACCTCAGTGATTCCATGCTGCCAATGAGGAGATACACAATTAACTCTTCATACATGATGTGTTTTATTCTTGTCATTTTGCAAAATGGATGCCTACACAGGTGCTTGAACATGAACTGAGATTGAACAAAACTTTAAACTGCCTGTCTACACTTATATTTGTGAAGCAAAATCCAGTGGAAGATAGAGGGTATTTTCTAGTCAGTAAAATCTGACATTACAGTTACTGCAGGAGCAAGTTTATGCATTTAATTAAAAAAAGTAGTTTAGTTTAGTTTAGTTTTATTTCTTTAAATCTGCTGTGAAATAAGTACTAATACCAGTAATTATGCCATTAGGAGACTCAAGGCTCCACTGGGAAAACTAAAGCTACAGGAAATTGCAGCCAATGACATGTAAATAACACTAATTAACTAACTTCTGGCTGTTACAGGCCACGTCCACACAACTACGTTTTACTTTTAAAACGCAACATTTTTGTTGGCATCCACACAACTTTTTTTTGTTTTTCGAGCACCTGAAACCAAGACGTTCGGAAACGCTGCTGGCCCCCTTTTAGTTTGAAACCTCCGGGGTTGTGCTGTAGTCTGGACAGGCAAAAATCGAAATGTTTGGAAACGATGAAGTAGACAGCGACGGTCGCTCCCTGATAGGGTCTCGCCACCCTCGACTGACAGCGGTGAATGCGAAAGAATAACAAATTACAAGTCTTACTGACCTTGTTGTACTTGCTAGCAGCTGTTGTGCAGTTAAATTCTACAACTGCCTCAACACTACAGCTGTTACTTGTTCGTGGTGTTTTCTGCAACTAATCAACTGCAGAGTAGGCAATCTGCTCCCTGTTTACACCTGCTCGCGCACGCCCAGTGTACGTGAATGGTCATGAATGTATGCGTTTTCAGGCGTGACACTCGTACGTAGTAGTAGTAGTAGTAGTAGTAGTGTGGACGACAAAAGCAATCTTGAGGTTTCCACTGATGTCTGCAGATGTCACACCTTTTGTAATGTGGACAGGAAAGCTTCCAGGGGCACAGCTCCACTCAGCAGGGGTTTGGGGGCCAGCACCACAGGGGGCTCCTCCATCACTCGCTTTCTCTTCTTGCTGGGGGGCACTGGGGGGGGTTTGGGCACCGACTGGCAACATGACAGAAAAATATCAGTTGACTGGAGAGAGATTACACAACATGAATCATTCAAATAGATAGTTTGTGGTACAGATTCAGACTCACCTGAAGTGTGTGTTTGTTGTCCTTGGATTGTAGCACTGCAGACACGGTTGCCACGGAGACGCCGGGTTTAATCTCAGAGGGCACCAGGGAGTTGGCCAGCTAGGGAAAGGAGAATCAGACTTTCAGACATGAAAATTGGCCACCTGCTCTCTGACAGTAGTTTGAATATTTCCATAATGCATTTCAAGCTTCAATTCTGACAGCTTTTCATCCACCATGTCACTGTTTCCTGCAAACACACCAGAGGATTTAAAATATGAACTCACCATCTGTGTCTGAAGGTGCTGGTTTTATCTTTTATTCAACACTGACACCTGACTCCATTAAAGCCTTTTTATAACTAGACAAGTTGAAGAAGAATAAATTCATCTGAGTTACTGCTGTGATGTGACTCACCTCGGGCAGTATGTAGACGCGTTCGTAGCGGCGTCTGAAGGGCAGGTTGAGTACAGAGCAGCGTCTGTAGGGCATGGGAGGGGGCTGCAGCTCCAGCATCAGGTCAGAGCGGTGGGACTGGGTGAGTGGAGGCTGAGTGTACTGCTCTGGACACACCACATGGAGGGGCTGCAAGGGGGGGGGGGGGGGGGGGGGGGGGGGGGGGGGTGATAAACTCCTGTGAAGAATGCTTTGTCTTTCTTTGTGTCTCTGACCTCCAGCGGCTGTGAGCTGAGCTGCCTAACATTTACACAGCTGTTATAAAAATGGTTGAGACTGTTGGTGAACTGTTGGAGTTAATCATAAAGAAGAAAAATGTAAAGTCAAGCTACACTTTTTATTTAATTTTGTAAAATGAAGCACTGTATCATTATTATAACGATACATGAATCGAATACCCCTGCTTTAAAGTGATAGTCTGGAGAATTTCTTCTTGTGCAGGCTAAGTGTAGAAAAAGAAAATGGCTATCGCTGACTAAATAATGAAGGTTTTTGTAAATACTCAACACAAGAACAATACTGAGGTGATCTTGCATTCACTGTGACCCCCACATTAATCATTAATTGGATCGGTGCATTTTCTGCTGCAGCACTGTTGTGCGTTCCCTCCTGCTCTGCCCTTAATGCTGGTCGAATACTGTTCAGTTGTTGTGTTTGTGACTCGCCCGTTAGCTTGTAAATTGTTTCCATTCTCCTGTTTCACCCACAAGACTGCTTCTGACTGAGCCATTATTCGCTTATTACACAATTCTCCTCTTCCCAGTGTTGCGTGTAAAAACAACCCATGAGAGCAGCCATCTCTCAGCTACACGATCACAGTGATTTTCCAGTCGTTATAATGTGTTTAACTCATCTTTAAAAGAAGAATCCCTCTATAAACTCCATTAGAAATCAATTTCATATCGCTGTAATCCATTGACTCTTTCAGTGTATATTGCTTGTAAAATGAGGAAACCTGTATTTATCCACTTATGTCTCTTATGACCCCTGTGATCAGTGGAGAACAAGTGTACAGTACATTTAACACATTCGTGAATGGGACGGTAACATGACAGTTAGGTGTTAACAGCATACCTGGACTTCCTTGAGCAGCTTTGATACTTGGTGAAAGTTGAGCCGTGTGTCAATGGGACAGTAGACACACTTCATAGCCAGCGGCTGGTAGGGAGCCAGGGCATCAAGGTACGAGAAGTCCGGCTCTGGTGACGAGAAAGAAAAAAGGCTTTTAGAAGCAACGCGTTTGCTTTGTAGTTACAGGATGACGTCCTCTCGTTCACGCCTAGTTGATGACACAGCAGTGTTTGTACGGCAGCTGTAGTTACCGGTAAAGATGATGGTGTTGAGGCTGGACTTGCCCCACAGCTCCATGAAGTGAACCACGTCCCCGAAGCGCAGAGAGGGATGACCGGTGAAAACCACACACGGCTGACGGAACTCGCTGCTGAAGTCTCCGTGAATACTGGGGTAGTGCTTCAGCTTGTTGGTCTGGATCAGCTGAAACATCAACAACACAGGAGATCAGTGAATGCAGAAGAAACAGTGATGTTGGCTTCCATCTTACAAACTAACTTGTGAAACATGAAAAACAAGAGGCTCATCTAGTCATTGTTTCTCGGGCCAGCAGCAAAGTAGTAAACATCTTTAGGTCATGTGTGCAGAGTATTCAGTCCTGCCTGAACATAAATCCCCATAATAAACAGGAGTGGTGTGTACACACTCATTTATTGAAGATTGCTTGAAGTAGAAGGTGTGCAGGCGACTCTACTTTGTTGGCTTATGCTAAATCACTACAGGATCTTGTGCTGCCGTGCACGCCAACAGTGTCCAACAGAGAGTGTTGGGTTTTGTTCATTGTTACTTTTGTCCAAACTGCACACTGGACCAAATTTATTTAAAGTGGCTCCTGGTTATATTTCCCCCTGGGACATTTTTTCTGAATTGAATGGCTCATCTGATAACAATGTCCTGTTTCAACAGAGTGTTTGATCGGTTCAAAGAATTTACTCACGTAGGATAATATCTCAAAATAAAGCCTCATTAATTGAAAATGTAAATGAAAATGTACTTTCCGAATGTACTTGTTAAACAATGCTTTTGGTGGCAACAGGTGTTGCAAGTGATTTTGATTTATAACTGCATACGATTTGAGAAACCTACTCCAAGCTTTTACTGTGGTTTGAAGGGTGATGTCAGCGCTCCTTTTACTAGCTGACAATCAGGTTTTCCGAAAATCCATTATCTCTGAAATGCAGCATTGTTCTTCAGAGATAGGAGAGACAACAGACTCACCTCTGCATGAGGGAACGGAGGCTCTGGAAGATACACCTTTGTTTGCTTGTTGTGACAAAGCCTGAAATTAGAAAAAAAAAAAAAAAAAAATGATAACCCTGATCAAAACATCCCAGAATGATCCTGTGGAGCGATGCTGCAATGCACCACACTGGCAGAAAAATCAGAATCAGTATCTGAGTCAGTGACTCAGTTTTGCTGCAGTCAACATAAGTAGATGTTTGATCTCTCCAGCAACACCGACTTTTCTGTCACTGTTTTGATTGAACAATAAATCTCTAGCAGCCCGCGAGAGCAACAGTCTTAACAGGGGGGCGAGCGATTCTAGTAACAAAATCAGACTTACAGACACTGATGGTTTGTTTCCCTCAAAAGGTCAGTACAATTACAGCATTTACATTTACTCAGTTTTGTACATATTAGGGAAAACAAACGATGTGCAATACTGTAAAGAGAGTAAATAACTATTCTGCGTGATACTGTACACACATTTAGTGAATGATATTTCAGTGAATGTCTTCCCCCACATTTTGCTAGAGAATGAAATACCAACTCAGACAAATCTGTATCTGTAACTGATGTTTGATTTTGTCTCCATCATCGTAACATTTCACAGATTTCTAGAATAAGAACATCCTGCTCACCACTCAGCAAAGATCTGAGAGAACTCCAGCGAGCTGTTGGCGACGGGTGAGATGAAGTAGAAGGGGGTGGTCCCCAGGCTGGCGCTCTCAATGAACTGGTACAGACACTCCAGCAGGTCGTATATCACTCCTGAGGAGTAGCACGGGACCAGCACATTGCCTCCCGCACGAATGGTCATGGCTGCAGGTAAAGACAAATAATAAACACTTAAAAACATTAAACTACGACTGCACACGCTGCCATTCCTCAATCAATTAAACAGCGTTTAGGGGGACACTTTAACCTGAAAGTATTTATCATTTATTTACACTTACGTCCAAAACAACAGATATTTAACAATATGAAATTTATCTTCTTACTGAACTGATTAAATCTATTCTGTACATTTTAACCTACCCAGGTTACTACAGAATTCTCCCAGCATGCCGTCTGGGTTGGCTGTGGGCATCTGTGTTAGGCCTGTCAGAATAAGAACATCACTGTTCTTCAGGGAGCTTTGGTCCATCGGCTGAGAGAAGAGAAGAAGAGATACTTTAAATTATGACCCGACCTGTGAAAGAGCAGCTTTGTAAACTAAACTATCCAGTAAGACGTTCACACACATCTCATCTCAGTGGAACTGGAAATTTCTAATTGCCTCTGGTTGAAATGTATTCTCTATATATCACGATGGAACGAAACAAGTAGTGGCCAAAGCATATTCAGTACTTCCTGCTGACAGTCCTACAATGCAACGTATAGATGCAAATTTTACTGCTGTAGTTGTGAATGACTGAAAGAGAGTGGCCACTAAATTAACTCTAAATTAGTGAAACAAGAATCTAGCAAATATGTTTTCCATTTGTTTACAGTGTATGTGTTTTAATGTGAAATTAACAGAACGTGTATGCCATACTTTCACAAAGATTTCATAAAATAATCACTGACAAAAACTGATGATTAAAAACTGAAACACACATGGAGAGCTGACCTTTGACCTACCTGTGGGTGTGTAGTGAGGAGGGATGAACCCGACACATAGGACACTTTCTCGTGATGTGACTGAATGATCCAGTTCGAGCTGCCCAACGAGTAGCCAGAACTTAAAGGGGAGATCTGTACAGCTCCAAACAACTCCTGCAGAAGAAGAGGTTATCACCACGGGAACACACAAATACAGAAAAACAGAAAGAGGACACATACAGCTATTTTAGTTGTGTAAACAAGCATATTCCTGTGCTCAAAGCGTGAAAAATGTCTCGCATGAGAAAAATATAAAGATTCTTTCTAATATTCAAATAAATTTAAAAAAAAAACACACTCTTTTCTCTTTGATTTTTATGTTCTGAGAGTTTTGAGTGTTACTTAAAAAAAGAAGCACACTAAGAACCACATTTACTTTTTAACTGAGTCTCTCTTATCGTGACTAATGTTTGGTAATGTGCATTTTCTATGTCAACGCACAGCATATGTAAAAACACATCCATATAAATGTGCCACACATATTGTGACCTAGTTTTTGTATTGAAAGGATGCCAACACACCAATTAGGTGCATAACCTTTTTTTTTTTTTTTTTTACCCCCAAAGCTCTAATAATAATAGTAGATACTGTCTGACCTAATGGGCTACATTAATTGAACACTACACTCTTGTTTGATTAGTCTCCATGTCAGTATTAGTGTTTGCCTGTACAGAGTGCGTAGGACAAAAGAAGTTCTTACCACTTTCTGTGAATAACCCACAAGTTGCACTTTACTGAGGGCAGAGTTCACTTCCTGTATACTGTAGCATCGCTTCCATGTCCACACCTCCACCGCATCCTTCAGCGGGCCTGGGAGCATCCTAATACAACAGCATTAATTATATATTTGTACTTCATAGTATTAAGTTAAATGCATCTGTCGAAAAGTAGCTGAAGTAAAATGACACCGTGATAAAAATGTACAAATGAAATCAAATTAAATAAACACAGAAACGTAACCACTAAAGTAGGTGATTTTGTTTTTGTGTCAAATTTTTTTGTTCTAAAATATTTTCCAAATCACAAACAGAACATTTGTACTTGACTCTTCTTTTTGTAGTTAATTTGTACATCTACCTTTGTAATTCCTTATTTTTCCAGCAGGTGGCAGACTGGGCTTTGGGAACTCTCTCCATGAAGTTCACCAACTCTTCCATCAGCAGTCTGAGCGAAGAACAGCAAGAAACAGCATTTCTTAAATATCTGAAACCCCAACCGCTGTCTTTTGGTTCAAGATATGACATTTATTTTGCAGACCTTGCATCCATTATTCTTCAAACCAAAACACAGTGGTTCAGAGCTCTGGATATGTGTCCTTACCTGCCAATCTGCAAGGTGGGTTCTGTGGCATACACCGTCCCTGTGAAGCCTGTGCGTTCAGTGATGTAGGGCAGGGCCATCATGCAGTGGTAGTTGGATATCAGGATGACATCAATGGTAGACAGATCCAGCAGTTCTCTCTGTGGTTGATATAAACGGGAATGTTTAGTAATTTAGACTAAATATGTGTTACTATATCAAGTATAGCATTTATTATTATTATTCACATCTTAACTGCAGCTCATGGAAGTGAAAAACAACTATAGCAATCACACTTTCTTTATCATAGTGATTAATATCATAGAGAATAATGTCATTAATCAAAGCCTTTAAAATCAAACCGTCTGATGAACACAACTTTAAACTATCTTTTGTTGGGCTTTGATTCGCTCCCCAATTCATGTCAGCATTACACTGTAATTTCCTGCAGTAAAATCATGAATTTGTCACATTTGAGTGATGGCTTAAGCAACACAAAAGACACACATTTTAGTTGAATATTATACAGTGAGCGTGTAGGTAGGGTTTCCAACCTCAGGAAGACAGAACTCTGGCTGTGAGTCCACAAACACCCTTCCTGCACACTCCTTCAGCTCCTGGACAGATGGAAAGAAAGTTTGTGTACTTTTGTGGGCCATCATTATAGACAAATCTTAATACATTTAAACTTTACAGACATAGATAGAAACAGAAACGACTCCAGGTGGTCTCACATACAGATACAGGTTTAATACTCAGTGAATCAAATACACCAAAAACAGCTTCTCATACCTTCTCCAAGTTTACTGCTCCATCCTTAGAGACCCAGCCAGGCAGCTTGGAGAGTCTAGGGCTGAATAGGACAAAAACTAAATATTCAGAATGATTCAGAGCAGTGGCAAGTGTATCACTCAAAAATCTCTAAATAATGATACTTGAAATTAATGAATAAAGACACTACTGCTGATGCCAGTGACTCACCTGTGCACAAGAGGAAGGGGCAAGAAGTTGAGGACTGAAGTGGTGTCCAGCCCACAGTCCAGCATGATGGTGGTGGATTTGAACTTGAGAACATTGCAAGGCAATGTAGGATGACCAGACAGACAGTACTGCAAGAGGGAAGACACACAGTCAGAAACACGCATGTGGAAGAAAAATCTGATTGTGCCAACAGAGACACAGTAGAAGCAGCATAAACACGACATTATAGTAAGTACAGTGGAGAGATGGTGCCAGCCTGCGCGTATGATTGCTGTATCAGTATAAAAAGAAAATTGCTAACTTAATTTTCATTGATCAACAAATTGACTCAGTCATTTTCTTTCAATGGGGACTGCATACATAGGCTTAAATAGTTTACCCAGCCTTGCTGTTAGCTGACTTGTTAGCCCCAGCGAATGAGACAGGGAGCTATTAGCTGCCAAGCTAACAGAGTTAGCCAGAACTAGGTGCCTTGAACGATTTGCTAAAATGCTTTAATTGTCACTAAGGGTTGGTTTGGCTCTTTACTGTTGCGTTGTTTACTCACCAATTTCATTTTAATACAAATAACGACGGATAAATGTGTTTATGATAGTCAGCTTTTCCAAGATCGCATCCTTGCACACTGTGTTTGTCTCTCCGCTCGCTGTGTTTTTCTGACGTTTGCCCTCTACCGCCCCCTACAGAGGTGGAGAGGAACTTTACTCATATTTAACATACAGGCAGGTCAGAGGCACCAAATACTGAGAAAAATACCACCTATTTGCTTATTTGTAACTGTCCTGAAAATAGGATTTTGCATGACAAAATAGTAAACAAAATATCGATTGAAGTGTCGATAATTGTCGTAAACAAATGCACGTGCAGCAGGACTGTCTATCAGGTTCGCTGGCACTAACCAGAGCCGTACATAGATGAGTTCACCTAGTGTTACGAGGAACTTTGGATACCTGACGTAGAGGTGCCTAAAGTGTACTTATGACCATAATATGAGCTTGGCGGGATATCTTTAACCTTTATCGTACATATGTTGTATGAACGCGTGTTAAGTTTAAGTTTGGGAACGTTTTTAGGCTGCTCGAGGCAAGGCGACTGCTACAGGACGGCGCAGTAACCAAACACTTTCCATCAGCGGCTCTGGTTTAGCCCCCTCCTATGCTAGTAGTGGCTAGCTAACACCAACTGTACCGACCTCTCAACCACTCCCCGGTGACTCATACCGGTACATTTATCTCGAGAAAGTGACATTAGTTACGTGGTAATATTGCGAAACTGATGTAGTAACACTGGCAGACCAAGTACTTCTGTATCTCCGGTAGGCCTTGTCTTTTGTTAAATTGTTACAACAGTGTTCTTGTGGCTAACAGCTAACCAGGAGATACCCAGTTAGCTCGCTTTTTGAAACTACTGAGGTCGATGTTTTCTCATGGAGGATTTGTACAGTTATTAGTCAAGAGGATTTACGATTGGGGGAGGACAGGTAGGGGTTTTAACGCCACGTTATTAATTGACAGTGCAAATACAATCATTTCCTAAACAGCCATAGTTAGTAGAAAATAGCTGTAACGAATGGTTGTTGACAGAAGTTGTGAACCCCGTTACGCACTCAGGTACATCTGGTGAAGTTAGTTACACCTGATGAAAATTACTGCTGAGTCATTTTCGTTTTGCCTTCTATAAAGGAAACAATCGTACAAACTGGAACAGTAACAAAGAATAGTATATTATTAATCATGTATAGGTTAAAAGGAAAAAAAGCCGTGTTCATAATTTGCTGAAATTCATAGCTGGAATTCAGTAATTGGTGACATCATTATATCTGTGCATTAATCTCAGTTCCACAGTTGTTTTTTTGTGAAGTCATGTTATGTCTATCATGACTGTCATCCTTGCCAGGACATGGTTATTGCTTCCTCATATGCGTCTCTTTATTCTACAGAGCAGAAGAGGTACACGCTCAGTTTCTTCACCATGGGGAACACCTGCAGTAACCAACTTGGGATCCCTCCAGCCAAGGGCCCCAATGCTGTGGGATGCACTGACTTCATGATGGACCACACTGCACAGGTAGAGTTTGAACCACTTTTATGATATTCTAGCTTCTATCTGCTTCTTGTAAATAATATGACAAACTAGGGATACATCAGAAATGTGATGTGATCACCTGGAGATCATGACCATGATGGACTGAGGCAATGTTAAGTCATGTTGCATGAGTATGGACAAAGACAGCACGTCTGGGTATATCTTTGTAAAATCATTGATTACAGTTTGGGTAGCTGCTGGAAAACCTGTTCAGTCTGCAGCAATGATACGTTAATAATCAATTCCATTATGACATTCACTGGTCATTCTTCCTGCATTTCAACAAGAGTTACAAAGTTCAACATGGCCAAGTATCTGTACACAAGAAATGCAACTACATACATTGTATGAACAAGATATTTGTGACGTACATTTCAGTAAACAATAGTTGCCTAATCGTGTGAACTTCTTGCCAACAGGGCAGCTTCTTCCGGCTTTACTATCCTTGTCAAGAGACTGAAAAAGCAGAAAAACCAGATTGGGTCCCATGCAGGGAGTATTTTAACGGTCTGGCAGACTTCATGAAAATCAACAGAACTCTCAGTGAAAGGATTTTCAACTACCTCTTTGGTAATTTTGACTTCAATTAGTAAATTGTGGAACATTTCAAATTACAAATATGCTGGTTAAACTGGCCTTTCCAGACCGTATTAGTGTTTTTGCATGTTTTTGTCCATTTATGACAAATTATAGCCTGATCAGAATATTTCCAATTATACTGCAGTGTAAGTGTCATTTCTGTACAGTGTGAACATCAGCTCAGAAATTTATTTTGTCATGTGATTTTTATTTTTGTCAAAGTTATTATTGCACAGTACTCCAGGGAAGACTTTTTAAATCAGTTTAACTACTTTGCCAAGCAACAAGAATTTAACTTTGACAACAGTGATGGCAGAAATGATGTTTATTATCATTAGAAATGACCTATTTTTCTGGTGTTGTGCTTAAGAAAGCTTGTTTTTATCATTTGTTTATTCCAGGTTCCTTTAAGATCCCAGCCCACCTGGATGCTCCATTCAAATCAAATGTAAAATGTCCACTAGTTATCTTCTCCCATGGCCTGGGAGCCTTTAGGTACACAACTATGTGTTTCTGATACTGCTGTAGTATGAATTTGAAGTTCTGCTCACCTGCCTTCTGTGAAAGGTGTAATTGACATGTCCTTGTTGTTTCTTAGGACTTTATATTCAGCTATATGTGCAGAACTGGCCTCTCAGGGTTTCATTGTGGCGTCCGTTGAACACAGGTAACTGAACAAGATTTAATGACATACACTTTTGGATGGGGTGTTATCTTCATGTTCACTTCAGTTCAGTTTCGATTTTATTTGTCCCCCGGGGGGGGGGGGGGGGGGGGGGGGGGGGGTTTGCAGCAAGACATAAATACAAAACACAATTGAAAATACCGCTACAAGACAATAACGATTAACAATTAACAAACTACAAACAAACTTTGAATAAAGTGCTCATTTGCAGTAAAGTCCAGAGTGCTGGGTTAAAGTCAGTACTCATTTAATTAAAAAACAAAAGAAGCTTCTTTAAGTACATAAATCAGGATTAAAGGAAAGCTGTACAGCAGTTATTCAAACAGATGTAATGCTCTAAGTTATGTGTAGAATCTTGAGGTGTTTTAACTATATTCTGCTGCAGGCTGATAATATATACACTGAAAAAAACTAAAGAATAAGGCTGTGTGTCAGTTGGAGGAGATTGTAGTTGAATGTTAGCCAAGCCATCAGTAACAGAGGGCAGTCTCCTCTGCAAGCGGCTGTCTGTTTATCAGTGTGAGTAGGAGTGGAAAGGGTGCTCAGACAATGGTACGAACCAGGTCATCACATTTCTTTTCAGTATAGAGACAAGGGGACCATATGGAGATGAACATAATGGCCTCAGTTAGTCTGTCACTCATGTCAGTCGACGCAACATTTCACTGAATTTTAGTAACTGGTTAAAGGCTAAAGCCACATAGAAAAGCATGTGACCTGGTTTATAGCTGTGACATGAGACACACTTTGTCTCACATGTCTGCAGTGATGGCCAGAGGTCAATCCAGTCACTCAGCCAGTGCTGCTTTTGTCACAGCGCCATATTAGTTTGTTTAGTTTCTGACCACAAACAAGCCAAAATAGTCATAAAGAGAAAAAAAAGCCCTTTTTACTGCCACGTCTATTATGAGCTTCAGCAACAGGTAATTTGCTTTGGCAGCAAGTCAGAGCAAGGATAATACAAAGTTGGCAGCTAAACTGCACTCTGTGCTTGAGTGTGTTAGTTTGTGTGCGAGATAAGTTCAGATTATTTTCATGGAACCATTTTTCTTATCTACTATAAAGCCTGTGCTAAAACCCCAGTATTTCCTGTTTACATAGAGGAGGTTATTAAGTTATTGCAACTAATGATTATTTACATTACCGATGTCTGCAGATTACCTTCTTGATTAATGATTTTGTCCATGATATGTTGAAAAAGTTGTCACAGTCTGATGTTTTCAGTTTGCTTGTTTTTAATTGACTAATAGTTCAAAACCTCAAGATATTCAGTTTATTATATGTGACAATGACAAATGGCAAATTCTTACATTTGAGAAGCTGGAAGCAGAGAATGTTTGATGTTTTTATAATCGTATGTTAGTCTGTGATTCAATTTCCTTCAATCAACTAATTGATAAATCGACTTATTGTTGCTGTTCTATGCATCTAACATTTTTTGTTTATGCTTTGGACTCAATTTTGAGCAAAGAGAAACTTCCAAACAGATCCAAATAATAATTAAAAAAAAAACAAACATTATTTTTGCCTCTTTTGTTTGATTCTTTCCCTTTGAATCTTAATTTTGTGACATTGTCTTTTCCTCTTTAATCCAGGGACCAGTCAGCCTCAGCAACGTTTTATTTCTGCGAGAAGACGGAGTCAGAGAAGGCAAATAAGAATGTGGCTAAAACATCAGCCGCAGCCCATGGCAACCTGGTGAAGGAGTGGATGTACTACAGGAGTCTGCAGCAGGGAGAGAGTGAATTCCCCCTCAGAAATAATCAGGTAACGAGTGATTAAAAAGTAAATCCAGTGATATACTAGAGTCACTGTATAAAGGGGAGGCGGAGGAATGATTCCTCTTTCATCACTGTGGGTTTAGTATTGACAGCAGCTTGATTGCACAATATCTGAATTTTATACTGGGTAAGTCATACATAACCTGACGTCAAACCACATCCTTTCTTGTTCACTGTATTTTCTAATCCTTTATCTGAACTGTCCCTGGTTTCAACTTTTTTCCGCTTTAATCTTGGCATCAGTCCAGCTGTCTTTACTGTTTTGAAAAACATTATGATGTTGAATTTCAAACACCTGATTGAGTGAGTTTTGAAACATTTGGTTTGTGCGTTTTCCTTTTCTCCTCGTGTGTGAATCTTTCTCTCCCAGGTGAAACAGAGAGCAGATGAATGCATCCTGGCACTGGATAAACTCACTAAAATCAACTCAGGGATACAAGTGCAAAATGTTTTGCAAACTCAGTTTGACTGGGCGACGCTGGAGGTAATCTTTTCATTAACTTTGAGTTTTTAGTCATAGAGAGAGGACACAAGTATCAACAGAGCAGCAGGATACAATATTTAGTGGCAGCTGAAACCAAGGAAATGTAGACATTTCTGTTTTTTTCAACAGAAACTAGTGACATGAGCAGGAGCAAGTGAGCAGCGTTATAAGACTGCAGCAAATGTACACAGGAAGGATAAAAAGTATTATTGGAGCAAAGAGAATTGGTAGAAATGTTTCAAAAACTGGTGTACAGGGTTATTCTGGTGTTCCTCACACGACACAAGAAAACAGAAAATCAATGATCCAGTCCAGTCTAATCTTTCCAGGTATGTAACGTCACCAAGTTAAGGGGAAATTCCAAAAATGACTAAATCTAGGCTTAAGAACACTTGAGAACTTTGAGTATAGACATGTATCAAAAATCAGTTTCCTTTGCAGTAACTGAACATCAGTCAGATAAAGACTGTACAACTTAAAATATTTCCACTCTCGCTTTTTAAGTAAATCTTTCGGTACTTTGAACACATACATCTTTTGACCTATGTTCACATAAATAGACTTATTAAGTATCAATGACCACCATTTAAATTTGCTTATGAACTTCTTCATTGTAAAGTGACTCCTGTAAGAAAGCTTTGAGAAACACAAGACAGTCAACACTTATAAAAACTGTTGTCACTGAGATGGAGGGGATTTGTTGACATGACATCAAAATAGCCGCGGTCAGGATGCCACATTGGTCCTTTCACAGCGGCCTTATGTTTTTATATAAGTCTTCAGTTGAAGACATTGGAGTAGTTCTAATATTGTTTCTATTCAGTAACATTCAGGCCAAATAATAGTAGTAGAGTAACGTGGTGATGCTTCCTGATCACAGTGAGTGAGATGTGGCCTGGTGTGGAAGGGTCCATTGGATAAGTCTGGCAGTATTTTATATTATTGTTGTTGTGGTTGTTATCAACAAATATGAAAAGACCGAAACCAACAATAAATAAGTTAGTCTCAAAGTTCCTTCTTTAGCTAAAACAGCTGGGCACTGTAGCAACAGTTTCTCAGTAGAAGTGAGGTGTCGGATACAGACAATACGTTTTAGTAGAATTAATTGTTGGTTTTTCGTCTTTCCATGGGATTTGTTTACAAGGAAAATATAGAATATCACGGAATCATTCTTTCAGCTGTGATTTGATGGCAGAACCTCAAGCTGACATGGTTCTGAGGAAACATTTATGTTGTGCTAATCACTCGCTCCCTTCCTCTCTTGGCCAACAGAACTCCATGGATCTGTGCAGGGTAGCAGTGATGGGGCATTCCTTTGGGGGAGCAACAGTGATTGAAGCTCTGTGCAAAGAGGTTATCTTTAAGTATGTGGACTTACAAAGTACATCCAGGTCTCCTCCATCATCATGTGTTCTTATTCTGAAGAGGCAAAAAAACAAAATTGAAACAATAGCCAATCTTGGATCTGGATATTGAAGTGATGTGCGTCCTTGTGTTTTTTTTTTTTTTTAATTTTGTAATAACTGTCCCTGGAAACTCTCAACTCTGAAATCAGGTGTGGCATAGCGCTGGACGCCTGGATGTTTCCTTTAGATGACGAGATATTTCCTCAAGTGAAGCAGCCGATCTTCTTCATCAACTCAGAGAAGTTCCAGTGGGCGGGGAACATCAGCCGCATGAGGAAGCTGGACTCGGCCATCATACAGAGGAAAATGATCACTATCAGGTATCACGGACAGAGCTGAAGTTGCTTGCAAACAGAGCTGTGACGGTTTTCTCTGACTTAATGGTGATGTGATTTTTCCTCCAGAGGCACAGTGCACCAGAGTTTCCCAGACTTCACCTTCCTGACGGGCAACTGGATTGGTAAACTGATGAAGCTGAAGGGAGAGATCAACCCAGAGATCGCCTTAGACCTCTCCAACAAAGCAACACTAGCCTTTCTGCAGCGCCACCTTGGTATGAAAAATGACGAGCTCACAATCTTTGTTGATTATTTCTAGTATCACGTTAAGTCTGAATCATTTTTTACACACAAGGAGAAATGCACATTTTTAAATTAATGTTTTGCTGAAATTCTGAATGAAGCTAAAAATCATCTGGTGTTTGCAGGTCTGGAGAAGAACTTTAATGAGTGGGACCCTCTGATTGATGGGCAGGATGAAAACCTCATCCCAGGTACTAATGTTACTGTGCTTCAGTCTGCCATCTGAACAGTAGAAGAGCCTGGTACTACCTGGACATCAGCTTGAACCATCTTGTCTTTTGTGTGGGAGCCAGTGGAATGGTCCCAAAATGCCAAGCCAGGCCTACTTGGCATTTCACACATTTTATTTCAAAATGGACAAAGGAAAACATTTTGGAGTAGTAATGGAGAGGAAAGCCGATCTCTACCTCATCAGCAGGAAGGATTTGTTTTTCTTGACAGGTGAAACACTCAGTGTAGCAGTGTTTGTTTCATGAAGCCTGAATGTTGCACACGAGCAGCTCACACTGTTGGTGAAATCTTTATTACCAGCAATTTCTTAGAGAAATGCTTTTAATCTTCGAGTGTATATAAAGCCAAATGACAAATGTTATTTTATGAAAATACTGTACGTCTCTGTAGACATAGGGGCCTTCCAGAGACAAGCTACTCTATGATTGCAGTGTGATTATGTGATGAGGCCTAAAATGAATCATGTGGGATGGGTATGGATAAAAAAAAAAAAAAAAAAAGATTGACGACTCATATGATCTTAGATAATTAATATATCCCAAATCTGCAGAAAACTATATCTATCCATCCTGATTCAACGAACGACAGCTACAAGTCAATCAGCATCATAAATCATCATAAACACTAAAAGGTTGCACGATGAAAACCTGCCTGAACTCACGGTACTGTTCATCATGGGCAAACAGCCTTCTACTTTTACACACTTACTGTCTGATATCTGCATTTGTACACAGCAGAAATCCAATAAATCTGGTTTGTATACAAAAATCATTGTGTCCTCTAAGTGACTCAGTCTTCCATGTTTTCTTAATCAGTTTTTAAAGCCTTAATGCCAGATGCTTAGGAAATGTTCTAAAGCTAAAATTAAAGTTTTGTGAATGATGCGCTTATATCTACTCCAGAGGTCCATTACCAAATTGTGGTGATTGAGTGGGACATTAAATGTTGATGCATTTTAACTTGCTGTGAAAAATTTTATTACATTTTGAAATTACGAGAAAAATAAAATAGTTATTTGTAGCAATTAAAGGTCTTCAGAGTCTCTCTTCTGATTGGCTAAGGTGACTGGAGCTCCAGAGAGATGTAACACTACATTGAGATGGTTTTTGGTGCTTAAAACCACAAAAATATCTTCTTATGGATCAACAAAAATAAAACCTGAGATACGTGTAAAATATGGGACCTTTTAGATGTGTCACACCAAACTGGAAAAACCGAATTCTCCGAACAAATTCAAACAAGGTTGAAGGAAAAACCACAGCTCAGCTCCATAGATCAGTAATATTTATTTTACCAACATAAATGTCTTCAACACATGCATGTATCCACACTACAGAAAACGTGTTGCGTCCTTTAAAACTGTAGCATTTCACCGTCAACCTTTCAAATCAGGCTCATCTTCAAGAAAAGATTCAATACTTAAAGAATTTCGTGGCAGTTTGTCAGAACAGATTATCTAGAACACAACAGCGATCCAAGTAACACTGGGTCATCACACTCATATTGACAACAAACTCCAGGTTTTGACAACTATTACTGTACAAAGGCACTTTTAACCAGATGGTTAAGTCAAAGGAGGAAGAACATCTGCTGGGTCAACTCAATAAATCAACACTGCCACTGAGCAGTTCAAACACAACAAAAGAAAAAAACTGAACTTCAACCTGTTCAGTTCAACGTAACTAAAGCATTTGCAGTCGATAAACCAGAAGAACCAGAAGACAGTTACTCCACTGGGTGCTGCTCCACAGGCAGAACATCAGCAGAACCATTACTGATGATCAGAGAGAGGTGGGTGACCTTTGACAGCTGGACCTCTAATAAGGAGGGAAAAATAACAATTCATTTGGTTTTACAGACAACACATCACAGACTGTAGCCAAATGATTGTTCAAATAAAGAGAGTGGCCTGGCTGCTGATTGTTATACTATAGATTTGACACTTAAACAAGCGAGGACGTTCTGTTTGACGAATAAATTCCTCCGTCCTCACGTCTTTTCCTCACATCTCCGCTGGGAGGAGCTTAGGCGTGACAGAGACATGAGAGAGGGAAGCGAGGAGCCAAAATGGAAAGCACATCACCGGGACTTACCAAAACTGTCATCAGCAGAAGACAACGTTTCTTCTGAGAGCACAGTATCATCAAAATCCTGCAAAATCATCAGCAAATTCAAAACACTGACATAAATCACTTCAAAACATTTTGGATTTCAAAATTAAAACTTCTAACTCTCGTCTAGAATATTATATGTTCAGTATAATTAATAGCAATCCATGAAATACCAATGTAGTGCTCGTTTGATTTACATTATTTAAACAGTCCTGAGGTGGTGCAGTGAGGTGCTGCGTCACTGGAGTGAGTGAAAACCTTGTCCTGGTTGCTGCTTGTTTGACATCTACCACACTGCTGGCCATTCACTGTAAATGCACACTGTACTTCTATTATACGGGGCATCCATACAGCCTATAAAGTGCATATACCCAAGTAATATGGACTAACACACTCTTAATCACCTGACATGAGCCTCATTTCTAGTACATCCTGACTGTATAACTAACAGTAAGTAAGTACGTCAGTGAATCTACAGCTACATCTACACATAATACCCATGATAAATACACACTTTTTACTTCTACACACCTTCTGTCCATGAGGGAAAGGTTTTTTATTCAAATTTGGTCATCAAACCAGTGGACCTGCACCAGAATGAAAATCAAATCAACAGGCATAATTTTTTCCCTGAATGATTTACCTCCTTTTGTTTGGGTGGTGTATGCAGCAGCTGCTCACTGTCCTCTGTTTCAGCCTGTTGTTGTTGGTCTGGAAGAACAGGAAGACATAATTACAATCAGGCTTACAAACATGACAAAGATATGGTCTGTTTCTACATTCAAATAATGGAATCATGTTTATTGTCGAACATGTAAATCAAGACAAATGACCCAAGAAAACTAAACAATGAGGACGGACTTGTTTGGCCACTAGGGGTGGGCATGATTAATTGATGATTGATAACTGATCGTTAAGAATTTTGACGATCACGTGGAATCTGATCGATCTAACGTGTATGAACGAGGTTGTGTTGTGTAGTGTGTCTTGAAGCAAGAGGATTGTTGTTGGACTATAATTTCTTCTTATAGATTTCATTGAGGAAAAAGACACTCTCTTTAGTATTTTCTGACATAGGCTTTTTTTTATATAAATAATTAATAATGAATCGATAATTGATCGTTAGTTTTCCCAATGATCGAATAAGGAAATGTCTTCAAGTGCCCATCGTTATTGGCCACTATTAAAATATTGAACTGAAATTCGTTAATGCATATTTTGTTGACCATCAGATACCTCTGCAGACGTCCATCAAACAGATCTCTCCAACAAGACAGGTCACCTCCTCGAGTAGGTCACTCTGAACGGGAATAAAAACAGCATTCACTTGTCAGATGTGTGACGTTGTGCCATTTAAGAATCGTGTTGATTATCATATATATTATATATATATATATATATATATATTTACTAATAATATATATTATACATATAACATATATAGTACACACAACGGCCACACACACACACACACACACACAACATAAATATACTATTACCATATCTGGACAGGAGCTTTGTGCCTTAGTGTCAGATGGCAGAGCTGCAACCACAGAGGCAGGTGAGTAGGCTCATACATATAGTTTGTATCAATGTTTTTAATTAACTGTTATCCAAAAAATATATACATGAGGAATGCAAGCAGATGCAAGAGGAAGAGGAATGTGGGAAAACACCAAAAAATGTATAATTCAAAATCTAATTTGACAAAAAAAAGATGACACTACTACTGTAACTACAAACCAGAAAGTTTATCTTCGTGAAGATCCGACGTCTCATCTTCAATCACTGTGTCATTCTAAAACAGAACACAATAACTGTGAGAGCTTTCTCCAATACGGACCAGAGCCATGTTCATTAAACATGGTTTAACAGCAAATTCACCAGGCCCGTTAATTCTCATCCAACTAACTTGGTCCTTTGAACACAGGCACACAGTGTGAGGACTGATTTTGTCAAGTGTACTCTTACTTTGAAATAAAAGAGTGCTGACCATGTGATTGCAGTTACATGATAGGCATGTTGGGACCGCTTTCTTGTCCCGTTTCCACAGTGACAAGAAAAAGTTTGTGATACATTTGGAATGACCTTGTTTTCTACAATGACTGGTCCAATGATTCCCTTCAATTTACCAGTGATATGATCTTCATATAATTCGAGTGTAGACAAACATAATGTCTATAAGCTAATATCACAAACAATTATCAGCTTTTATGTATTTTATTGAATTTATTTATTAAAGTAAGTGAACCCTTGGATTTAATAAGTGGTCAAAACTCCATTGACAGCAATAACCTCAAACAAGCTCTTCCAGAAGCTGCTGATCAGACCTGCACAATGTTCAGGAGGAATTTGAGACCTTTATTCCTACAGAACTACTTCAGCTCAAACATATTCTTAGGATGTCTGGTGCGAGGGGCTCGCTTCAGCTCATCCCACAGCATCTTGAGTGTTTTTTTTTTTTTGTTTTAATAAGTAACTCCCACACTTCCAATCTAGTTTAACTGTTTGGACTCCAGGTAGACTTTGATAGCTCCTCACTTTTGTTGATGTTATTAGCTGAGGGGTTCACATTCTTTTCCCAGCCTATGCAGCGATGATGTTTTCTATGTGGACAACAACAGTACAATGATTTGTAGTTATCAGTTAAAATAGATTGATTGTTCATAATTCTTGGATGAAGACGTGACCATATTTTGGGACAAATTTACACATAAATGGAGGTGATCCCAAAGAGTTCACTTACTTTTTTTTTGCCACTGTATATCACTGTTGCAGCTAGTCATGACCAGTGAATATGGTCAGACTACAAGTGATGATATGCATAATTGTTGATAATGGATGTGCAAGAGACTTTCTAGTGATAATCATAAGTCTGCTATTAAAATGAATCCTTACTAAAAAATCTCTCAGAAAACAAAACCAAAAAAATTTGATTCATGACAGATTGTCAACATCTAAGTGTCATCTAATCTGGATAACAGTTATGCAAGTACAAACAACAGAGCCAAAAATTCTCATTTGACAGAAAAGGCTGCACCCTTACCTCATGAGGTGTGACCTCCTCCTGTTGGGAAATGTCTAAAATTTCCATTTCATGCTCTGAGGGAGCTCCTGTGAAGATAATCACAATCATTTACCGCATCATTGCACTGTATGTAATGTGGAGACACAACAGGAAACCTGTCTAGAACAAGAGTACCATTCATGGACGTAGACCTGGAAATGACTCACCAAGTGATTCATTCTGGACCTACAAATTAAGAAATTGCCCAATTTTAATTTCAAACAATTAAATTAACTTAAAAAAAACATTCTATAGATTACCATTCAGACAAAGGTAAATTAAAGCAAACATGGAATAAAAAATAATACGAGTAAAACAAAACAAAATACAATGCATACTAAAGACCAATAAATACAATGATTCTACTCCATTCGTATACATTCACCAAGCATTTTATTAGGAACACCTATACACCTGCTTATTCATGCAAATAGCCAATCAGTCAATCGTGTGGAGCTTCAGTTAATGTTCGCATCTTACATCAGAATGGGGACAAAATATGATCTCAGTGACTCTGACTGTGGTATGATTACTGATGTCAGACGGGCTGGTTTGAGTATTTCCACTCCTGTCAGTCAAGAACAGAAATCTGAGGCTGCAGTGGACACAGACTCACCAAAACTGGAAAGACTAGAAAAATGTAGCCTGGTCTGATGAATCTGGATTTCTGCTGAGGCAGCAGACATCTTGTAGCATTCATGCCACAAAGAACCAAGGCTGTTCTGAGAGCAAAGGGAGGCTCTGCCCAGTATTAGTATGGTGTTCCTAATAAAATGCTCAGCATGTGTGCAATATGTACGGTACTTTACATAAAGCAACAATATCTTATACCTCATTTGATCCTTTAACTTTTGTCTTATGCAGGTCTTCTTTGATGTCAGGGCCAACATCTTCCTGGGGAAACTTTAGGAATAAAACCTCAATTAATCATTGTGAATTAATTAACAAAAGAAGAATTATTCTACTATGAACAGCGTCAAGTCAAAAATGAAATTCAGTGTTTTACCTACTCTGAGGTGCAGTTAGACCTGGAACCATGTTTAAAAACACTGCAGATGCACAGGAAGACACTCACTGTGATGCAAATTACCATTTCCTCTGCTGCTATACTGATGAGGCAATCCTCTGTTGCACTGGTGACTTTGCTGTCATCACTCAGCTCATCTGGATCTGCAGTGCAAAGGATAAAAAAAAATCCCTGATAATCCCACACTAAACATAACATTACACTGCATTCCTGGCACATTGTCTTGTTGATCATCATATACCTGTGCAGACATCAGTCAAACAGGCCACCTCTTCAAACTCATCGTCCTGAACAGCAATGAAGACAAAATTCACATTGTGGGCATATGTTTTGCAATTGGATTGTAAAACTCTGTGCATTTAAATCCTTTACCAAATCTGGAGAGGGAACAGTGCAGCTCTGTGGATCAATGGTTGCTGTGTCAGTGTCAGCTGGCAGGGCTGCAGATACAGAGACAGTTTAAAACAGCAGGTTAACCAAGAGGCCTCTTTTCTCATATTCAAATCTTGTTCAGTAGGCTCAAGGATGTCAATTCAATGATTTACAATATTTAGTCTAATAAAACGTAAAGTTATTCCACCAACCTATGTGCTTTAGACTACATGCTAAACTGTTGGTTGCAAATACAACTTGTGTTTGCACTTCTCTTATGTTAATTTAAACATATATAGATGTAATAGAAAAAGCATGAGGGATGTCTAAACAAGTAATTAAAAGACTGAGATGATGGCAACAAACCGGAATATGTATCCTCATGATGAGCCAAGGTCTCCTCTTCAGTCATTGAGTCATTCTAAAAACAGATCAGATTATCAATCCGTCACTGACCTGAGGCCAAAATATGTTGATGTCTATAGAATTGTTGTACACAGATAGTCAAATTAGTCATTTGTACAGTATTTACCCGTCACAAGAAAAGTAGCAGTGGTAAACCTCTACAAGTACTGTATTTCCATAACACTACCTTCAAATGGGTGGCAACGCATGGCACCTCTGAGACACCATCTTCAATTTCCTGCTCTGTGGGAGCATCTGTGAAGACAATGGCACTCCATCATCAAAACACAGTCATTTCAGAACACACACATACAGTATTGCACCATTCTTCATTGTGACTGTGTGTTACCCTTTAATATTATTTTCAGTCAAGTTTTCTGGGGGTTATCTAGTGACTTTTCAACACTGCCATGGAGTCACTCAGCTATGAGCTACAACTTCTGTCCCTGTTTTTAGCCTACATTTGTTTGTACTTTGGCAAACTGGCACTGTTCCAAGCATGCTGAAATAGCTATTCGCAGTTCCTGTTTGCAGCGTACCTATGGACGTACAGATGACAATCATGTGATTACGTTAACAATGAAAAAGACTTAAAACATGATGATTCTGATCAGCCTTTCTGGACTTTTATTCTCAGTGGGCTAAGAAATAATATCCTCAAGAAGTGTATGTCAGAATGAATCTAAAAATCTGTCTATCATGTTTGTGTGTTCAGGTTTTATGACTAGGAATTTTAAGGGAACTCTAAGGGTTTTAAAGTACCTTAACTGCCTCTGTGAGCTGTGTCACAGCCCACTGCTGCAGCTCCCACTGCTGACTGTGTTGGTGAGAGAGGCACACCAGCAGCCAAACTACAACAACTAACTTCAAACTGTTTCTGGAACACCGGCACGCTCATATCACTTTCACCTCATGTAGTGTGTTACGTTAACACTCCCCAAAACCTGTAGAGTGTTGTGTGAGTTGGAACCACAGGAACCACTCACCACATAGCTGCTGCACAGGAAGCACAAAGGAAGGCAACACCAATTCAGTCTGAATCTGTGAGAGAACAAACACACAATTAAAAGCAAGAATAAACTGTTTTGCAAAATGTCTTTTTTGACACACGGAGCACCAAAAGATTTGATTTCACCAAGTGCTTTGTATGGAGATAAGGTTAAGCTCATCCCTCAATCTCAGCAAATCACACCAAACCTATCTGGTTACATATTCTACTTCTCAAGTTAAGGAGGAAATGTGTATTTTTTTCTTGATTAAACTGCCATTTTAAGGTTTTCATTAGAGCGAGGCAAAAAACACGTACCTGCTTTAAGTCTTTCCAAGTTATATCAGTAGCTTCTTGCAGATTAATGCTCTTCCTGGGGCGAACAGCTTCACGTGGAGCCTTCAGAAAAAGGTAACACATTAGACTTCAGAGCTATCTACCTATATACACATGAGATAGCACGCTGAAATCATGGAAAAGCCAAAATCTACAGACACAGCATGTGCAAAGTCACTAACACAATTTACCATTTTCACTACTGTCACACCACTGAGAGAACTGTCCCTGGAAACGGCAATCTCACTGTCATCTTTGTCATTAGTTGGATCTGTATATGCAAAGAAAATAGCAACAAAAGCTAAATTAGCGTCACACAATCATTGACCACAACTTGACAACTGGTTGCAATCAATTGTGAGTTAACGAAAGATTACAAGCAAATAAAATATATGCAGAATACAAAATTGTTACAATTTTACATTCTATATTAATATGATTTCTAAAATATAACATTAAAATAAACTAAAGAAACTAGATATAGCTGATTATTTTATTAGTAAGAAATACACCATACTGTGCACCAAATGAATACAAAGACAAAAGGAGAAATGCATGTGATGCTTACCAGAATAAATCATGGTGTCAAAGCTGTAGGTTTTCAGCTTTTCAGCTGAAGATGTCACTGGAATCTCTGATTTATCTATATCCTCCTTAAGGTTCTCATCCAATGGAGAAGCCAAGCCATCTGGCCCAACAGAGTCCATCACTGAAGCACCCTCCTCTTCAGAGTCTTTGTCAGTGTCACCCACATCAGGGAGCATGTAACATATGTTCACTCCTTCAATGGAAGCACTTTTCTGAGGTACAATAGCCATATTACATTCTGTTGATTTCTGATATGTTTTGTCTTCTGGAGACTCAGCAGAAGAATTTTCAGGGGTTTCACTGATCTTTTGTCTACTTGCTAGTTTGACATCATCTGCTCTGTGAGTTTCAACAAGCTTGTCAGTGAACTGTTCTTCACCACGGTCCATCTGAGGATGAATGCAAGAAACAGTAGTATCGATTTCTTGGCTTTCAGGATACTCTAGTTGATCCTCAGGTAGTGCAGCCTCTTTCACAGTTGAGTCAAATTGCAGTGGCGCTTCATATGAAGCAGTCAGTCCAATAGTATCAGGTTTGCTTTCTGTTGTGGAGCTCTTCCACCAGGTTTTCATTACCTCGTTTATCACCTGGCCATCACATTTCACCCGCACAAAGCATTTGATGTTTTCTTTATCTCTTGTTACTCTAGTGACAGTCAATTGTAACAACTTGTCTATTGTAAGTGTGCACAACTCATCTACTGCGACACTGTCCCAAGATCCACATGAAGAATCAAAGCCTTCAAGCTCGCATAAAAACGCCTGTGGAGGAGTTACCACCAAGTCAGGGGGCATTTCCCTTACATCTGTAATGTTAACTCGGGACTTGTTTCCATAGTCCACAAAGAGAACAGAGAGCTCGTCTCCATCTTTGTCAATGACCTCTGCACGGTACCAAAGCTGATCGTCTGAAAAGAGAACAATGCATGGACTGCCAGTGGAGAGAGAGTCTGGGTCAATATGTTTGTGGTCAGCTGCATTCCCAACTTCGGAGACATCTGATGCTATCTTGTGGAGTTCTTCAGAGTCAGCAGACTGACACCAAAAGGAATGAGCATCATTTATAGTTGTGATGTAGATCTGCAACTGCTGTTCCTCTGAAAACGCTTGTTGACAGTAAGAAGGTAGAGATCGGGAATTCTGTGGTAGTTTCTCTGAGTTATGGGCAAGTTTTTCCTTAACTTCAACTTTCTCTGGGATTTGAGAACCATCAGTTGAACATCTTTTAGATGCTTTGCATCTGATATTCACACCACTGTCTTCCAGACTTACTTCCCACACAGATCCTGACTGCCTGATAAACTGGCACTTGAACTTCTTTTCTGCATCACCACCAATGTCTTCTTTGAAAGCTGACAACACTTCTGGATCAAACATTTCCTCTTTTCCGAGAGTTGCAGCATCACTCAGCATGCAGTGTGTGCTGTACATGGGTAGTTGCAAGAAAGACTCATGGAGTCTGCCTATCTTGGAAATTGGTGTCATTGCTGTATTTCCAAAATCAATAAACTCAACAAGAGCCATCGCGTTGCCACGGATTTCTCTTACAACCGCTCGGTACCATGAGGAATCATCTGCAAACTCTGCTTGAACAAGGTCACCTGGATGTACATCTTTGACGGCACTGGTTTTCAGGGCTGATTGGGGATCATTGAGCTTTTCAGCAATGGAGAATATTTCACCCTCATCTCTGACAAGTTGAACATAAAAACTCAATGGGCTGTTGCAGTGTGAGGCATAGACATCTGCTTCCATACCTGATGTGATAGATTTTGATGGCAGGTCTGCAAGTTTAAAGAATTTTTCAACATTGTTTACCTCCTGAGATTCGGCACCAGGTGAATTGCACATGAGCAGTTGAGTATCTGTGGGGAGATTTTCTCTTCTTGGTTTGACATGGGCACCTGCAGGCTCAGAACCATTTCCCATATTTCTTGGTGTCTTTCCACATGACTCTCTTTGGTGAGGAGGTCTGTACAGCTGTAACGGAGCAGCTTTGAGCTTCTGACCATTTTGAGAGATGTGGCATGTAGACTTTAGTGCAGACTGCATGTTCATGTTGGCAGGTTTTGTCTCATCTCTCATTTGTCGTGCAGATTTTGGAGCAGAGGAACTACTTTTCTGGATATTTTGGTTGTGATCTTCCATTTCTGCAGGTTTTTTTGGGACAGCTTTTTGAGGCTTTTGCACATGTTTTGCTGTGGCTTCAGTTGCTCTCCGACACTGGTAGACAACCTGCTCTTCTGTATGCATCTCAATCTGAAACATCCTCTTGATCTTTGAATTAATCTGAGTGTTTCCATGATACAGCTCAACCAACACTTTCCCATCAGGTTCTCTAGCCACTACTAGTGCTCGGAATTTAAATTCTATTGCACTCGTTTCAAACCAGCTGTTCACCTCACTGGGAACATTGGCTGGGACATCAGAGAGTCCACACACAACTGCTTGCACAGGCACAGACATGATATCGTTAGCCTCTCTAGGAACTGGAAGCAAGTCAGATTTGTCCACCTCAATAGTGTCACCATAATCCACAAAGTGAACCAGGATTGCTGGCTTTGTGGCCTTGATCTGTCCCCTGTACCAGTGCCCATCAGTGTACTTTGCAAAGCACAAAGTTCCAAAGACTGCCGGGATCTTTACATTCTCTAGCTGGTGGCAGAGATTGCTCACTTTGACCTTGAGATCTTTCATCACATCAGTGTTCCTCTCAAGCTGGCAGTAGAACTGATTGACATTGTTTACACATGTCACTGTAATCTGCTCCTCTGTCCCAGTTTTGACGTTGTGTGTTGAGAAGTAGTATGAGTCCAGACGGAAAGACGGTCCAGAGGTTTTCTTGGGAGGTGCATTTTGGACAAGGTTGACCATGCTGGTGCAGACACTCTCAAAGGGAGTTTCTAGATCTACGATGTTGAAAACAATCTTCTGCTCACTGTACATGACAGCATATATGGTACACTTTAAAATCACAAAGTTGGATACAGCCGTTTCCACAAAATTGTGGAATTTTGCTACTGCTTCATCATTCCACTCATTTATGGCAGACGTGGGGTCAACAGGGTTTAACAGACTGCATCGAAAAGCTTGACCGTGCAGAGTGAGGAATTCTGGGCATATCCTCCTCAGATCATAGAGGGAGACCATTTCTGTCTGGCCATAATCAACAAACAAAACGTCCACATGAGGTGTTTCATGTTTGAGAATTACAAGGGCCCTGTACCACATTCCATTATCAGGGTGGCGAGCAATACAAGCCGTTTCTACAAGAGGCTGAAATTCACTGCCTGCATAATGCGCCTGTATGTCATGCATGAGCAACTTCAAGTGCCCCGTATTTTGTACTAATTGGCACCAGAAGTCATTTGGACTTTCAATGTAGGACACAGACACGTCAAGGACACTCCCAATGGGAAACATGTGTTCCTTGAATGTAGGAATTCTTCGTACAATGCTGGCAGGGCCAACAGTGTTTTGGCTCTGAATAGACATTCCATTGTTCCTGTATATACCTGAGAGTCTGGCATCTGGATGTTGTGTGGGAGGCAGAATGCCAGGTTGTATGGTCATTTTGGCTTTGGGTTGTCTCCATGTGTCAGCCCTCTCAGCAAAGTTAGAACTACACATCAGTGTACTGAGGTCTCTTTCGCCCTGAGTTTTAGGATCCGTTAGTTGGACCACGTAGCCATCATCATATTTTGCTGTCACGTGTACATTTAGTACTTTATCTTTGACTGCTTTGATGAAAAACTCAGAGGCACTTTGACTCCATCTCCCATCTTTTGCACCGACACCAGCCAAGGTGCATTTCAGTGCAAGCATTGGCAGCTTTTTGAACTTGTCAGGTAGGGTCCTGATGTTCATCCTGTCAACTACTTCAGCATTTCCATAATCAACAAAGAACACCTTGACTTGTGTCTCATGAACTTCAGAGACAGTTGCTCTGTAGAAGTCACCATCTTCTGCCTTGGCAGCACAGTAGAGCCCAACAGTTGGATTTTTCACAACATTTTTATTCTCTGAATCTTTGTACAAATGATAGATACTATCCATCAATTCATCTAACTCATTTGCATAGTTCTGTGTTTGGATCCAAAACTCTGATGGGTTGGATACATGCTGAACAACTGCAGCATGTGAGGAGTTCAGGGAGAGTTCTTCTGCTAGCAACTTCTCTGCTAGTCCTTCTTCCCTCCCTTCTTTCTCCTCTCCAGTTTCTCCAGGAGTTAACATCTTTCTTTGATTTCTTTCTTGCTGGGCTGGACGCTGGCGGCTGTATGTAGGGCTACGGATGGCATAATTTCCAAGTGTTTTCTCACACTCCAGCAGACAGCTCTCCTTGGAACCAAACAAATTGTTAATGTTTGTGTTTTCGTCCCCATAGAGTGTGACATAGTGAACACCCTCAGAGATGCTCTGGTACTCAAATTTGGCAATCACTGTCTTGCACAGAAGAAGGTTCCTGAGAAGGTCAATCTGGCTGGATGTCCATCCAACCCCTTTGTCAATGATTCCATGAAGGGAACAGATGTAAGTCACAACTGGCATCCTGAAAAATTCTGCAGCCAGCGGTCTTACATTCTTCACTTTAACAAACTGTTTTGTTCCATAGTCAACGTTCAACACTTCCACCACTCTGTTGACTGGGAATACCTGTTGTAAAACAGAGCGGTACCATCTGCCATCATTTCCTCTTGCAGCACATGGAAAACCAATCATTTCTGGACCTACAATGCAATTGGTCATTCTGCCCTCGCAGCACTGTGTGATTTGCTCTGAGAGTTTCTTCAGCTCTTGTGAGAAGACCTTCAACTGGCAAAAAATCCGCTGTGGGTTTGTCACCTCTGTGACTACGACAGTCTCCACAGTTCCTGCTGGCAGCTCTGGGTACATGAAGAGCTCTTGCTTGTGCAGTCGCTCACCTGCTCCCATGGAGATCGGTTGAAGTTCTGGTGACACTCTAGGTACACTTTGGGACTGAAGTGACAGGAGCACAAAGTCCTGGAACATGTCTGGAGACAGCTTCTTGGCAAATCCCATCTCATGCATTTGTTTGGATATGCAGGGGATCTGCAGGACAAATGTTCTGTGGGGAACCAGTACATCTTGCACGTGTGCCTTTACAGACTTCCCAGAGAAAGATTTAAGAAATTCGAGAGCCACTGGAGACCATCTGTTCTCAGGTGAAAGTGGTAACACATTAGCTAGCACACAAAATTCCACTTCGGGTGGCAGATGGAAGTGCTCCTTCTTACCCCATGCCAGTTTACCTGTGGTGGTACTAGACGTCATCCCTTTGTCAATGAGGAACACACTGTATTTTGAGCCATTTCTTGAGACTATTCGGGACCTGTGCCAAGTACCGTCTATCTCAACCAAGCACTGGTCACCAGGACTTCCTTCAAACTCTTGAAATGTGTTTCCCGGAGACTGAATGTCTTTAGCCAGGCTCTCATAATCTACTGTCCTCTCCTGGCAAAATTTTCCCCAGAACTCTACAAGCACACAAAGGGGATGCAAGTGGACCCTGGTTATGAGAACTGTTACATCTGATCCTTGTGTAGGTAGTCCTAGGATTGAAGACATTTTGGCAGTTTCATGAATTCCAACTACCCATGACTTGTCACCTCTCATCAACACTGCTGTGTAACACTGGATGTTATCTGGAAAACATACACACACAACACACAAAAACTCACATCAAATCATAACACCCCATTCCAATTTCCCTCTGATCTTTAGAGAAAAAGACAGAATAAGACACAAATTAAAATAGTATTGCTTATAAATTTATCAGAACAAAACAATAATAAAACCGTCCTTGTTTTTTTTTTTTTTAAATCATTTGGCAACAATTTAAAAAACTTCTAAATATCTCTCAAGCACGTTTTGTACTGTGTTACTCATAGTTTACTATGACTGCTTAATGACAGTTTGTTTTTTGTTTTTTTAACAAAAGTAAAATAGTCAGCAATATAGTGTAAATCAGTCATGTGAATGTGCCTGTACAGCAGGGAACTATTACTATGGTCTAGCTTATGTACACTGACTCACCAATGTCACACTCTGGCTTTATTTCTGCTTCTAAAGGATCTGAATGACCACAGAACAATAAGCTGTCATGTTCAGTTGCTTCAGGCACATCTTCATTTTCAGAGTTGACACTACTGTCAACAGAACCCTCATTGACACACCTACAGTGTACCATTACATAACTGTGATAGAATGTTTTTCTGACAGTAGGCAGTAGTATAAACCAACTTCTTCCTTTTTGCTTATCCAGTGACATGTGAAAATCCAGTGACAATGAACCATATCACCACACACACACACAACATACACATACAAACAAAAAACCCATTAAACAACACTACCACTCATTACAAGAATTCTTGTTGACCTGCATTTTAGAAAACAGGTGAATCAAACAGATCACAATTATAACTAAACCTAACAATTTTATGACCAATTAATCAGATGTTTATCTGCTAAATACATCATTTGGTTAATAAACTGTACTATTACAATTTCTTGAGGTCAAAATGATGACATTGAATTGCTTGTTTTGCCAGATTAACACTGCAAAACCAAGAGAAAATTACTTTAACAATGAACTGATAATCAAAAAGAAAGCTAACTATTAGTTTTCTATTGATCTATTATTAGATTAATCGACTAATTGTTCAGCTCGAACCATATATGTTTTATTTTTTGAAAACATTGTGATGGGTGGATCTCCTCAACCAATCAAGTTGCAGTTTACATCCATTATCTGTCCAGACTCATAATACATGAAGTGAAGAGTATGAAGAAATTTAATAAAAAAGTATTAAGTGCATAAATTAGCAAAATATCACAATGAAAAAAACAAAAAACAGTCAAATTCCATGTAAGTGTTTACATGCTTGACCATTAAAGATCATTCTGATAGAACAAAGTTGAAGCCATGACAGTACTTAGTAGCAGATGCTTTTACTAAGTAGACATCCACTTTAATGATCATTTTGAGCACAGACAGGGCAGAAACTGAAGGTTTGCTCTCTAATTCATTTGCATTTTGCGTTGACAAGACCTCAGCCTGATACCTACAGAGGGCAGCTCGCGAATGTTAGTTCCATGGCTGGCAAACTGAATAAAGTAGAATCACACACTGTTCACTCAACTTCCCCAGCATCAGATCTCATAACCAGAGAGTATTTCTTTAAAAAACACAAACAGAGCTCAGATTGGTGTTGAGTGTTTTTTTTCAGTCTATCGCTCCCATAGATGCAATCTCAAGTTTCACTACAACATAGGCGGCATTAGCTAACCATCATGAGTCACAACTGTTCCATGAGCTGTGGTGGTCTGCATAGACTGTAATTATTCACGTCACAGTTAATGAGACTGTTGTGACAATTCATATAGCCAGCTATCATCTATCTCACTTTTTTAGATAACCTTTCTGTAGACTTTGCAATAACTGTCCACAAAGAAGACACTTTACATATCATGCAGCCTTAACTGAACCACTTACAACAACTATCCTGCATTACTTTTAGCACAGATGTACATGTTTATTTAGAAAATACGCAAACACAAAGTTCAGTCTCGGGATTTTAAGAATCTATGCTGGATATTCAACTAAAAATTGCAATTATTCAGAAGAAAGTATTTTTAATCAACCCCACCAGACATGGGCAGTGATCCAGACGTCAGGTGTTAGGTTTCATTCCAACACCAAACCAAGTGAAATACTAACACACAAAGTTGTTTAGGTCTCCCCAGGAAATTGGTTAGTGCTGCCATACACTAAAATACTCACTGTGTCTTTTTGTTTAGTGATGTTCACAGAAGATGGAGCTTGCACAAATCTTGATGAGACCAGATGCAATGGGATATCTGAAAACATGAGGCCCAAAGTCATCTAAGTTCACAGAAACTCATATGACAGCGTCAACCAATTGCAACTGAATATTAAGAGGCAGCGACAATTAAGTAGTGATAGCCAGGAGTCATCAGACAATGCAACAATCAGTCAGAAAGAGGGATTTCTTTTTTGTTTGTTGTTTTGTTTGGAGTGTACTGCATGTAGGATTCATCAATGATATCATTTGCAATGATCACTTCATATAATACAGGGTTTCCACCAGAAATGTTGTTAGACCCAGGGGCTGGGGATGCATAGACTTAAAAACTATGAAGACAGCAAAGAGCTGGACAAAAGCAAAGCCATATGCAAGATGTGGAAGAAGCCAACATAACAAGAAGCCATGTGCACCTCTTTGTACACAATGCATCCGGTGCACCAGGGTACGTTACCAACGCACATTACTTACCTACCTATTATTTCTTGAGATGTGTATCTAAACTGTTAAATTAAAAAGTGAATTAATTCCCAATGTAAACATTCATATTTTTATTAATACACCAGGTTCCCAGTTCTGAGAATCTCATTCATATCCAAGAAAAATTGTTATTGTAACAGAAACATCTTTAACTGAGTTGATATTGAATGGAATCAGGACCTTGTAAATCAGAATTGAATCCATTTGGAAAATCAGTCGTAACCGGGATTTGTCCCATTATGCCAGATGGAACTTTAAGATTCTGACTGTATATTTGAAACCTTTTAATGGTTAAGTGCCACTATTCATTGCAGATATATTAAAATTTTAAAGGTGTTATATCTTTAAAATGTAATATTGTTTTGTTAATTAAAATAAAATGGCTAATATTTTGTACTTTTCACAGACTGTACATATTTGCAATAAGTTGACTTCAAAGTGTACGATCTGTGTGATATCTATTGAGCGTATTTTTCATTGGTTTCAGGAAAGTCACAGCTTGTAATGGCTTGGTTTGTTGCACACTAAATGATGTCATCTTGTTCCGTGTGTCTGGACAAAATATTAATCACAGTTCCTTCGCAAAATACATTCATAATATTTTGAAATTTCTAGATTTCAAACTTTTCTTCCTGTGTGTGTTGTAAGATCCCTTGCTCTCTCTGTATGATCCTCAGTGAGGATTACTGTTGGGCAGCAAGTTAAAGGGATCACAACAATGTCTCTGAAGAAAGCTATATTTCACCACAAAGGACTTCTGGTGATGTAAACAAACAGTGGCATCATCTTTCAAGTCAGAACATCCAATTCTCAACTTCAATTGTTCCTTGTTTACTCTCAACTTAGCTAAACTTGAAAGATCAACTTTTCCAATGGTGTACGCTGCCTTGTGACAACTGTCTGCTTTTTCTGGGCTTCTGCCAATAGAGCGAATTACGATTGCACTCTTTCATACATTACTAGGTATGGTGCAATGCACAAAAGTTGCCCAAAGCTGTTTCAGGCGGGACTAGCCCAGAGTTTCTTTATTGTTTTCAAATGCTACTAGTTAATGATGTCAGAAATTAGTTTGATATTGCGAAATTATGATTATTGAGCTAAGGAAGTGAGATTAATATTTTGTCCAGACACATTAAACAAGATGATATCATTTGGTATGCAATAAGGGAAGCCATTACATGCTGTAACTTGCAAATTCCCTGAACCCAATGAAAAACAGGCTCAATAGGTATCACAGATAGAAAACTTTTATGTTAACATAGCACAAATATTTACCTAAGAAATAAAACTGATAAATGCATTATTACAGTCTGTAAAATGTACTCATGTTTTTATATATCTGCAATGAATTTTAGCACTTCCTCATAAATAACGTTTCACATTAATTTTTGAAATGAACTGGGAAGTCCAAGGTGAGTTGGTATGAAATGACCCCAGCACTAAGCTAATTAAGTCGAACTTTGGCTTTATTTCTTCTTCTAAATTATCTAAATGACCACAGCACAGAAAACGTCATCTTCATCATCAGCTGCCTCAAGCACATCCTCTTTCTGACAATAGGCTGACATGGAGTCCTTCTGCCTTGTCCGATGACACAAAATGAGCCACACTTTTACACCAGAGACTTGTGAAAACAAGTAGTATGAAGAATAGAAGGGACTTGGACTACAAGCCTTGCATGAATAAAACGAGTTAGACCGGGTGTAATATTGTCCTGAGTCTGTTATGATCAGAGGTATCCTCTCGCATTTAACGGTTAAAAAGACGAAGCCCATTCACTATAACTTAAGTGTCACATTGCTAGCAAGGTACATATTTTGATTTTAACTTCATGCATTAATCGTTTCAGTCGACGGTAACGTTAGGGTTACGAGTCTGTTTAATTTACTTTGGACCATAAACAATGGTATTTCATTTTATTACTTTATAAGGAAACTAATCATCCAATTCCTACTTTTATTTACACTTAATTCATGATAAGAGTGTGGGTTCTGGCTGCCAGCTAACTTAACGTTACATTCAGATGTAAATTAGCAACTGCCGTTAACGTTAGCTTCTTTGAGCACCGTGCCCATGTAAATCAAATCAAAGAATTCGCAGGCTACTGGTGCTACATAACCTGTCGGGACATTAGCGTGGCGACTGTCTTGCTGTTTAGATTTAAACACATTTAACGGTACAGGTGACACACAATAGCTCACCTTTTTTTTTATTCCTGGCGATCCCGCCGAGTCTTCTCAAACTCACGGTGATGGTGGTAAGCTCAAACCAGGTTCACCCTCAGTCCACTAAACCCACGGACAGCTGCGACGCCGCTAACTTTTTTCCAGCCGCCTAAACTCTTCACATTTAGCTAGCTTGTTTTGGTCCAGCTCCAGGGTTTTTCTACTGGTGCACACTGATGTATCAGATGATCCGTTTAACTGCTTCCGAAAAGATTTTAGTGAGGCTAAGAAAAATCTACAAATTCCACAGAAAACAAAAGTTAGTAACGGTTACTTAATGGATAAGGGTACCTAGCCAGGCACGTGCTTCAAATCCATAACGATTTCCCCCTTTTTTTTGCACCCTCGACCCGGAACTGGCGTTCTTGACCCTGCCACAGTAAATGCACAAATTAGACTCAGTTCAACGCTGTTTTTTCCTACACTCCACTCAGTTTAGACATTGCTGCTTTGCAAAAATGTCACAAAAAAACTATTCTTTTTCATTGAAGGAACAAAAAAAAAAGCAAATTAGCATCAGATCTATTTCAAGTAACCATGGACTATATTTAGTATGTGAGCGTTAATATCCACACAAATTAAACCCCCAAATTTCAGAGCCCAAGCTAGCTAATAAAACATTTATATCACCAAGCCTTGAAAGCCTGACTCTGATCCCGATGGTGCAGCTCAATAAAAAATAGCTCCTTGTCCATATTTATACTTTTTTTTTTATCATGGTGAGATTAAAACTGCTTAACACCACATCACATAGGAGACATTTCGTTTTGACTTTTCATTACCTTCTTTCATATAGCAACTAATGACAATGTCCATCAAAACTGTTATGCCGTCGCCTTAGGACATATTCAATTGGGCTGGAAAAGCAAATACACGGTGCTGTCAGTTTCATTATATACATTTAATTTTTGAATTTTTCAACACATAACTAAATGGAGGACACATGATCAAAACACAACCTTTGAGTTACAGAAACCTTTTATATTTCTTTAGTCAACAGACAAACAAGTCTTATAACTTTTGAAGGGGTGATGAGGAAAGTCTTGCTTCAGAAGTTATTTCACCAGCACCTTACCCTACATAGATGGCATGAAAGCAACAGAAACTGATAGATGTACTAGAATTGTTAAGATAATTTGTTGAGTCATGCATGATTTGTAGACAACAGTAGGGGCGTAATTTTGTGTCACCGCAGATCATTTTGTTGCACTAAATTTTAATTTGAATACAGATTGATTCTTGCTTAAACAGTTGACATCTTATCTTACCTCTTGCATAACCACTCACTGATTTCATCATGTGCCTGAGACCTTCCACAGACTGTTCTGCAATTTTGTCCCCAGCAACAAGAAATACCATTTCTTTTTTCAAATTGTCAATTGTTAACCATACCACTGAAGGAGTACTATCATGATAATAAAAGTTTTTTCTGTGTTCATATCTCATGTCGTTGAAAGTAGTCTCCAAAGGATTTGATATGCTTTTGACATTTGGAGGGTTAGAGTGCCCCTGACTAAAAGCTGATTGATTAAAGTTTGGCAGACAGAAGACAGAATTTCTCTCTACAAACAAAACTAACAAAGAAGGAAGAGATTGGCTGTCGACAAAAGGAGAGGCTACATTATTACCAGGGTCGGCCTTGGTAAAGAAGAAGTCATCCAGGTGGAAAAGGTGTAGGTGGAAAACTACACTCTTGCAGAGATGGAAAGCAACAAAATACATTTATTTCAGTAATGTCCATACAATATGCTTTTGTGCATTGCTGAACCTCAATTTTTTGGGTTGTTTATATTCATGAAACTTCACCACATTTTCAGCAGCACGACTAACTGGGATACATTACTGGTCATGATGGTCATGGTTCAACACACATGCTCAAGTGGCTCAAGGGAATTGGCAGACTTCATTACAGACTGGAACAATTGGTCTATCCAGTAGCATCATATTCATATAATTTATATAAAATGTATTTATTATTTGATTGTATAATCCAAATGAATAATAATATTGCCTATTAAAATTGCCTATTCCCAGGGACTAGACTACTGAACATTATCTTTATATTCCTATGTGCTGTATTTACCAAGTTGAACTGTGTAGTAAGTCTTTTAATGTAACCCTTCCTCCTGGAACAAGATGTTTTGTCACATGGACACATCAGTTGATCCATCTCAGTTTAATGCCTTTGAGGAAAACAAATTGGTCCCGAATCTGCAAGTAGAGATGAATGAAGGTTAAAGAGGGATATGAAGCCAAGTATTAAGGCATTAAAACTCCATCAGTTACATTTTTAAAACTCAACAAAATGAGTCCTTGCAATGGAACAATCAACATACGACTCTGCAGGTATTTGCAATACAGTAAAAGTAAAGTGAAAGAAAGACAGAGCAGCCACATGACAGAAAGAAGGTCAAATAGCTGAATGAATGTTGGCCTTACACTCATGATCAAATAATTTAGCGCAAATATTTACAGTAACACGAATTAGTAACAACTGAGTACTGTCACATTTCAACACGATGTTTCGCTGTAAATTTGGAAGGGACATATAATAAATACGTTCCCTGATCCATCCAACCTTTCCTGCTGAATTATATCACCAGGGGGAGCTATTGCAGTGTAGTTATTCTGATAGTGTCATACGATCCTGATAACTTGATCAGGATACCCTCATGTCTGGAGGAGAGAGTAGGGTCATATCACTTGGACGAGGGTCGCCAATGAACTCCTCTCTCGTAGATTCAGTTTGGACATTACTGTATGTGTTACGATGTGGAAAACAGATCCTGTGAGCTCACAGCTCAGTCTGTCAGACAGCTAAATCACCCTGAAAGGTTACAAACCACCTGGAATTTGTCCTGATCCTCCAGACTAGCTCTCCACCACTGTACACCTGTCAGTTAAATGTAAAAGTACAGTGTTTATTTTGAAATCTAGTATTAAGCACCACAATATGGAAATACTCAAAAGACCACATATAAGCCCAGTTCTCACCTCTCTTCATTAGTTTATTTTCAGATTTTACGTATTACATTTTAAGCACTTGCCATTCTGAGTCTCTGCTATATTGCTTAATAACGTCCCCACTTCTCCAGTCCTGTCATATAAGTTTTTTAAGTTCATTTTATTCTATATTGATTTCATTTGAGTCTTGTCATGTTTTAACATTGATTCATCCATAAAAGCACCTTAGTTCCTCTTCTTTTGTTTGAAGTGGGCAGGGCTCAGCTCAAAAGTGATGATATCACCTATTTCTGTGCATAAGTCATGGTTTGAATTTGTCATCGCATCTGAATCATAATGTGATAACAGTCCTGTGGTTGTTCTCTACCAGCACTGTCAATCACAGCTCACCTGGTAGTGACAGGCAGCACTGTGAGAATCATGTTTTTTGTCATGTTTTGTTTTTATTTCCTCAAGGCCTTCAATACAATTAGCCTGGACTGCTGACAGAGCAGCTGTGTATCTGAACAGGTGGTGGTGAGCACCACAGGGGTGCAGCAGGGGACCATCCTCTCACCTTTCCTCTTCACCCTGTGCAACTCTGACCTCTGTCATCTGCAGAAGTTTCCTGACTCTGCAGTTGTGTAAGGGTGTATCAGTGGTGAGCAGCAGGCAGAGTACAGACACCTGGTGGATCATTTGGTGGATTGGTGTGGAGGTAACTGCTCCTCAATGTCACCAAGACCTATATAGCCAATCTTTTTCACAGCAGACATTTTGACTTGTCATAGCAGGAAAAGCACAGGTGAAATAATGACACCGAGCCGGTGTGTACACCCTGGAACTAGTTCACCTAATTGGAATACAGCCAGTAATGTTACTAATGATGCCTCTGTGAAAAATGTTTGTGGCCTTTTTCACAGCAGGTTTTCACTTGTTATGGTAAGAGAAGAGAAGCACAGGTGTAACCAACACGTTTCCGTTCTGTTCAAGTGTCCCAGTGAGCCATGACAGTGTGACAGAGAGCCAGCATGATACCTGAAGCCAGAGCAGCTAAATGGAATTCAGCCAATAATTTTATGACTTACCTGCTTTTCCTACTGTGAAATGTCAACATGGTCTATTAAAAAAAGCCCTGCTAATGTGTAAATAAGTATTAATTGGTTTTATTGGTAGATAGTCATAATCAGAGATTATGTCTGTTTGTCATAAGATAGACAGACATTGTCATTTGTAAGAGTTTGTAAATGATGATTCAAACTTTTAACTGTATTCAAATTATACAATATGTGGCCTTTGTAAATGAGTCAGTGGTGGTTTTAGCACTAATACTGTATTGCCGTCCTCTGTAGGTCTACAGTCACCCTGCAGGGGACAGCACTGCGCTTTTAGTCGGAAACCGGAAGTTCGTCACCAGTTGGCGACCGCTGCCATTTTGACGTTGGGAAAGAAGAGCTGGGAAACTGCGTGTTCGTTTTTTTCAACGATCTTATTAACACACAAAGTCTTTCACCATGGCTATGCAAGCAGCAAAACGTGCCAATGTAAGTCCAAGCGAGTCGGCTTGTATATTCCATGATAAATATAACTTGTAGTATCACCGCGGCTTGGCTAGGAGCTAGCGTCAGCTTGCGTTAGCATACGGCTAGCCATTTAGCATGCTATCGAATTGAAAACAATCACACTATATAAAACTTGCTTTTTATTGAGGTGACTTTCAGTTGATTATATTACTAAGTGACAGCACTACTCGTTGATGCGGCTTAATTGGGAATATATGTGGTCAAACATTTGAAATATAGCAAAATGAACGCCCATGTAAACATTTTAACATCCGAGCCTGAAGTTGTTAGCTTGTTGTCGTTTCAATACAGCACATAATCCAGTCCAGGGGTGGTGATATGGCATCTGGGAAATTGAAATTATCAGCAATGCCAATACAATGTCCAAGAAGAGAATTTCAGGGAGTTAATGGTCATTTCAGAAAGAATCGAGTCAGATAAACAAAGAAAGTTGTTAACCCGACTACGGTATTGGCAAGATCTGAAGTTACTGTTTCCAGTAGATTAAAAAGCACTTTAAGTATGTTTGATGTGTGACATGGAATTAATGTTGAATTGCCTTAGTAGTAGCTATTACGTCTTGTTTGTTATGCTAAGGTTTATATTGAATACTCCCTTCTGTTTTAACATATTATTTTGTCAGACAATATGTTTCTTTTCTGTTTCCTTGCAGATACGATTACCTCCGGAGGTGAACCGGATCCTGTATGTCAGGAACCTTCCTTACAAGATCACAGCTGAGGAAATGTATGATATCTTCGGGAAATATGGACCAATACGTCAAATCAGAACGTAAGTGTTTTTACCCTGTAGATCTCTGGATTTCCATAGGGCCAAATGAAACACTTATTTACATGGGGTCCATTCATGTGTGTATAGAGATGTATAGGTTCTTGGCAGCAGCCATTTTTTTTTAAAATGAAGGAAACGAAAGCAAGAGTTCTGTTCTGTTAATTGTCATCTTAGCGTCAGACTATGACTCTAAAAATCCTCAGATGGAAGACTACATATATGACATCCACAAATCCAAGTAGACTGGATTGTCTTTTTCATGTGATTAACTTGACAAATTTGTGTTGGGTTAGCAGGGAGACCACCAGTGAGGTGAATTAAAACACAAGTGTAATTGATGCTGCACATCTTTGTAGATAAGAAAGAATCAAATACTGTATCAGTATTGCTCATATATATACATTTACCTATAACATCTTACTTAAAATAGATTCTAAACTGCTTTGGTGCCATGAAATTTCTTTACTGTTGTATGCACACTTAACTTTCTCCTAAATGGTTGTTAGCACCCTGATCATTATGGGCATTTAATCACTTCCTTTATGATTTGTTTTTCTGTCTTCTCAGAGGGAACACGCCTGAAACCAGAGGAACAGCCTATGTAGTATATGAAGACATCTTTGATGCCAAGAACGCCTGTGACCACCTTTCAGGCTTCAACGTCTGCAACCGCTACCTGGTGGTTCTCTACTACAATGCAAACAGAGTATGTATGAGCATTACAGTGTCTGTGATTGGATACGGTCAGGTCAAATGGCACTCAGAATATCATTCAATAAATGTCAGACAAAAATATTATTCTGGAAATGAAAATATTAGGTTTCTGGACACCGTACCCTTGTGCAATTATTCCATCTTTAATATAGTTTTCTCTTATCAACTCTCTTTGCAGGCTTTCCAGAAGATGGACACAAAGAAGAAAGAAGAGCAGTTGAAGCTTCTAAAAGAGAAATATGGCATCAACACAGACCCTCCAAAGTAGCATTCTGGGGAAACCCTCTCACTCCACCACCCCCTACTCCCTTCCCCCAAACCAGAATTTTTCTTTTTCAGTCTGTACAAACTTCACATGTTGTGTCAGGGTGCTGTATTTGGACTTCATTTTTGTTATGTTCCAAGAAAAGTGATTGATAAACAAACAGGTTTTACCAGGATTTAGACAGTGGATGGGTAACATGTTAAACTCTGATTTCTGATATCTTCTTTTCAGCCTCATATTTTTACAAACTTAATTTAAAGCCAACCATGGCCTGCAGTGTGCGATCTGATTTTGAGTTGATCAGTAATGAAAGTGTAAGGTTTCTGTAAAATAAATGTTCCTTTTCTAAAAGCTCTCATCTCTTCCCTTCTACATACTGTATATGTAATGTGGAAGTGCTGTCCTCTGTGCGAACCCTTTTAGATCAATAGACAAAGCATTTCCCACATTTGCAGTGGTTAGGGGGTCGTCCTATTAAGTTTGCCTGAAGCTTTCAATGGCATGTGATGATGTAGTCTCTGGGGTTTTAGTTTGGAGATTTCTGTTTGTGTGTGGGGATACAAACCTCTATGTGAACCCTGTGCAATCAGTGGTTTTGTGCTTAAGAGTCATGGGTAAACATTGCTGCCTTTCTCAGTCATTTCCCCTGAAAAGATTTGGGGTGTACTTTTAAAACTGCATTTCTACCTTCTAGTTTCAGTCAGTGTAAACCCACTTGAAAAACAAACATCTAATCATGTTTCCATAGAGAAATATGGAAAATAGAAACGCTTCTCACCGCTCTTTAAGAAAATCAAAACAAAATCTTTGTCTCAACAGTGACCTCTACTGGTTGGATAGGGCCATTATTTCAGAAATGTGCAGTGCATCCGCACAGCCTTTACAATCCGAAATATTGGAGGGTAGTCATTAAATGTATACCTTGCATTGAGAAACGAGGAAAACAATATTCTATTCTTGTTTAAGAAATGTTTATGAAACAATGAGTTGATCAACTGAAAATGATCCAGCATAATTCATTTGTACCATCTAAATCTACCGGTAATCAACTGTAAAAAAAAATATATATATAGTGGAGTAATGAGTACAATATTTGTAGAGGAGTAGAAATGTAACATTACATAAAAGTGTAACTGTTCGAGTGAATGTACTTTGTACTTTTCCACTGGAGGAGTGACTTTGTAGGAACCCATTGTTGTTTGAAGTGTATCACTTCAACTTTCACTTTCAACCTACAGTCTATGTCAGTGATTCCAAACTAGTGGATAATTCAAATAGAATTACTCATTGATATGTTCTTCAGATCTTTAGAAAATACAGTAAAGTCACAAGACAATTTTATCTGTTGCCATAGCAATTGCATGAGAACTAGTTAGCAAGCAAGCAGAAAAGTCAAAATAAAGTCTGGGTTAAAATTGTCAGCTAATAACAGCGGATAAACATTAGCCAACTTCTTCAAATTAAATGGATGAAGAGTTGAAATAATAAACTAAAGATGGTGGATAAATGGTTGAAATAGAGAGCTAAAAGTAATGGATCAACATTAGCAGAATGAGCCAAAATTAATGGATGAATGGTTGAAATAATTAGCTAAAAGTAACAGGCAGATAGCTGAATTAATTAGCTTAAAATTATGTTTAAGTGGTTGAGATAGCTAAAAGTAAAAGTGACATTTCAGCCGTGTGAAAAATTATTGACGATATGCACTTTTTTGTTGTCTTCATTGAAATGAACATGACAGGAAGGATGTGGTACTTGAGCTACATCAGACAAAAAAATGCTGAGAACCACTGGCCTATAGATGTAGATCTACATGTGATGTTGCTTGAAACGAGGGTGTGTTGAGTTATCAGACCAGACGAGAGCCCATAGAGTTCCTTTTATTAGATTAAATCACAACACAGGGAGTAGTGCAGCCATGTCGTCAGGGACACAATACATGCTACAAAAGAATCCTTGTACACGGTTGCCTTTGCTTACATTTGGTATCTTGATAGCAATAACAGGGTTGTAATTAGAAACATTGTCTGGCCAAAGATGTTCATGTAAAGAAGTTCAGATTAAAAACTTGACAGGGACAAGCCACGCTGCTGAGAGATGACGATGATGACTGGTATGCTAGCTCTTTATTGCAATACTGTCTATTATGACATATCACATCTCCTTTAGCCCCCTTTAGCTCTTAAAACACTGGTAGTATTAATACAGGTTTGGAAAGTGTGTGTGTGTGGTGCTTTCAGACAGAGCCAGGTAAACCTAGTTAAAGACACAGGTGAGCTTAGAGGTTATTTCCGAATCATTTTCTAGGAGGTACCACTCTTCACTGAACTTCTCTACATTTAGTATACATTAGTACGTGTACAATGTGTGAGAGAAGGGAGTAAAAAAGTACAAAAGATTGACTGATTGAGAGAAATACTTTGAGGGGGGAGGTTGGGGAGGGTGAATTGTTCAACCTACTAAACACATGGCTTTACAGTTAGGGCTGCCCTCTAGTAGTTACAGTGTGTAATGAAACGCCTTTCACTGCTCCTCTCTCTACTTTAGCACTCATTTACTTCCACTGAAAAAGACAAACAAGAAAGTTAAAATGCTGCACTGGCCTTTATTTCTGCTCTTATTTTAACACTCAAAGAGTCTAAAAAAAAAACACTCCTCTCGATTCATCATATTGATATGCAGCCTGCAGGCTAATTGGAAATAAGTGGATGTGGTGACACATTAAGTTATAACTAAGTTTGATAACGATGCTCTCCAACTATAGATGAATACTTTGCCTTGTTTCTAATGTAATCTAACTCCAGCTAATGGAAGCTTCATTCATTCTCCGGAGAATCCTGTTTTAAATGTTCGATCTCTCTCTCAAAGACTAATCAGTTTAGCTCCTTTTTTTTTTTTCTTTTTTTTTTTTTTAAATCTCTGATAGTCTCAAAATGATTTATTCATCCACTTGCAACATCTCCTAATTTGTAATGAGATAGTGTGTTTTTAAATGCAGGGGCAGGAAATTTATTTCTTAGCAACATATACTACAGCTAATCTACAAGGAAACATGCTCCCACAGTTAAAGCAGTCAAAAGAAAACACCTCGACAGATCACACGAGTTACATCCCACACGACGATACCTGTAGAAGGACCTACTGCAGTATGATTTTTTTTTCTCCCTCCCTCTCCCACCTACAAGTGTCGCCGCGCTGCTTTGATAAGGCTTTCTGTCTTCCATTACAGGATGCAAAAGGAGGAGCTTTTTAAGGCAGAACCTAAAGGCATGCAAATTAACTACATTTACTTTATTTTTTTTTTATTTTACCGACGGTACAAGCATGTTTTGGAAGGAAAAGTTGGACAAACGCTAATCCATCTCTTCTAGAGTTAATTTAATATTCGAGACGATGGATAGACTGTTGTATTGGAGGCGGATACATTATCATAGGAATTTGGTTCGGTTGACGTTACTCAGTATTATGAAACACATACAGCTAGCATCAGTAAACTCGGAACAATAAATAGAGTAGCGGCAAATTCAACGTAGCACATCACTGATGCGCAAGCTCCAGTAAAATGAAACTGTATGGAAAATACTTTGCACACTTCACATTTTGGCAGTTGATCTTTAAATAATTTAAATATATATTCATATTTATATATCTATATATATTATTTGTGCGAGGTGTTAATATGTAGTGAGAGACTGTGTATGCATGTGTGTGTGTTCTGTTAGTGTATCTGTCTGTGGTGTAAGTGTGCACCCGCACTCTTGCACCCGCACACTCTTGTATGTTGTGTGTAGATCTTTTTATAGCAAATAACATTCTCATGCACACGAGTGTTTCAAACACAAGAAGCAGATCCATTGAAAGGTAGTCCAAGCATATATTTTTTTTTTCAGTGGAAATAGCTGCAAACTGAATGGAACATGAAATTCTTTCTGTGCAGTCCGTGGCGGCTGGTGGAGCGCTCCGCTCGCCCTCCGGCCTATTTCTGAAGGTCACACTGCAGCAGTAATACGATGGACGGGTCGCTCTTGGCCGCCTCTTTGAACTCCTCCAGCGAGATCTGGTCGTCGTTGTTCTTATCCATCTTGGAGAAGATCTTGTCCACCCTCTGCTCGGGCGTCAGGCCGTCCTCGTTCATCTTCATCATGATCACTGTACCCACCATCTTGTAGATCGCCTGCAGGGGGAGAAAGAGGACAGCAGATTTTTTAAAAGAGATATGAAACATCTCGAAGTCGTTTAATGTATCCGTGTTTCCTTCACTTGTTGTTTCCTGAGAAATGTGAGGAAACAGGAATCAAGGAAACACATTTTTAATAAAAATGAAATGTCCTGCTGTTGAACCATTATCTGAAGACATGGGACAGCTGGATCAGGTGTTAAATGCTCTGTAGCACTTTGGAGTTTTTATTTGTACAGAGAGTGTGATGTGCATATATAATAAGAGTGCACAGTAACTACAGTCTGCAGTTTCATGTACTGTATGTCTAAACTAAATGTGAACTATCAATTCACTATCTATTACTCTCTATCTCTACTATCAATTATTTCTCTATTTATAGATACGTCCATCCAGTTTGGGGCTTTACTACTCAAAAGATGAATATAAACAAGGAATTAATGCTTTTTTTTTTTTTTATAAAATTGATCGATTACTTCCATCTGCACGTATGAATATTCTTTCTGTAAAACCATTATCTAATAACCCAGGTTGCAAAAATAATTTCGTATCTTAAATGTTTTACAGAGATGTGAATATATCTCTCATCAAAATATACTTTCTACAGCATCACATGTGAGCGAATAGAAATGAAGTTGGTAGACAGGTAAATTTTATTGCTGAACAACAAAAAGTCTCTCCTCGCTCCACGAGACGGGTTAAAAGGGGAAATGACAGATCATGAATAATTCAATAAGGGAACTGGGATGAACTCGGAGAGAGCGAGGGGCAGGGAGCAGCTTTCTGACTTCCTCAAACAAAGTGCCTATAATTCTGGATGAGTCGGCTCTAAACGGGCACTTCTGCCTCTTGTTGCTTGTTTCATATTCTTTGTGTTTATGAATAATCAGTGTCTTGTCAGGCCCTGCGGGCTCGGCCCTCTGCTGTACAACCTTTAACTAAAATGTGCTGCATCCTCGTGACTCAGCAGGTTGTAGAGAAAACAAGGCATGTGTCAATGTGTCACATGCTTACACGCTGTAGCCACCTAACAGCAGGGAATATTTAAAAATAATATTGCATGTGATGAATGTAAAAACTATGGCAAATAAATGGTGCTTCTGACTGAAATGTATGGATTTTATTGGACATTAATCTAACAGATGTAACATATGTGAAATCAATACACTGTGTTTTGCTTACCTCGATGATCTCCAGCATCTCCACCCGTGTGATCTTGCCGTCTCCGTCCAGGTCATACATGTTGAAGGCCCAGTTGAGTTTCTGCTCGAAGCTGCCTCGTGATGTGATGGACAACGCGCAGATGAACTCTCTGAAGTCGATGGTGCCGTCGCCGTTCTTGTCGAAGGTCCTGAAGGCGTGCTGGGCGAACTTGGATGCGTCACCGTAAGGGAAGAACTGGAATGAAAAAGAAAAAAAGGTAGAAACGTAAGTATATCTTTCAATGTTGGCTTTGTTTTGCGATCGGCTCATAAAATAATGTTCGCCCAAACCTTTTCATGAGCTTACGAAAAGCGTAGGAAAATAAAAAATGTCACCGTCTTGCTGGGTAGCATTTGCCAATAGTTTCAGGTCTATAAAACGAGCCTCTAAACTTTACATTACAACTTTAACAGTCAGAAATTTGATTCTCTCACTGATGAAAACACCAACCAACAGGAACATAAGCAAGACAGTAGTGCCACAATAAACCACATTTGCACTCACACTCCAAAACTAGCATGTACCTTGTGATCTGTTAGGTCATAAACACATGGATTGGGGATTAGAGGCTGAAAATCCCGGTATGGTAAAAGTGAAAAATAAAAATTGGTGAGGCCACAGTCAGATGTGGAAGTTTACATTTTGAAAACAGATGTGGTTATTTGGGAATGACAAATAATTATCTGCATTTAAAATCAATGGATATTCATTATCTAAATTAATTTAGTGAACTTTGATTTCCCATTACCATCCAGTGCTTGTGAATGTTTACATCACCATCCACACTGTCAGGTGGCCTAAAACCGTCTTACAGATTTTTCGTACAGTCAGTTACCTTGAGAAACCTGTCACTTCAAACCCTCTACAGCCTGCAGTCTTTCCTCAGGGATGCATATGAAATTCTAAAATTGGCAACAACAACAGTGTAGTCTCTATTGATCCCCGAAGGGAAGCTGTCTTCTCCCTTAGGCCCCGACACAGAAAGGTCAGGTCACCGACACACAGCAGCCAGGAGCTGGCGGGGCCATTCATCTGCTCGGAGAAACTTTCCCACACTGAATACGTCCTGACACATGTGACATGAATATGAGTCCTCAGGTTATAAGAGCTTCTCTTTCAAAACTCAAAACTTCCCACTGCAGTAGTTTCCTGTTGTGTCTGTGCACAAAGTCTTATATTTGTATATCACTTATAAACTGTGTGTTTCCTGAAAGTTAAAGATACATGGGTGTTGTATTCAGGCTAAATAGACTTATGAAATTGGGCTTTAATGGGTCCTGTGGGTCTAATCAGCCTCATATTCTCACTGTTATATTTCATTTTGATAAACTGTAATAACTTGGTAACCCCTTAACATCATCTAGTGCCATTATCAGGTCAAAATTATGATTTGTCCAATACTTTGGTTAATGACAAAGTACCTGCAAAGTGACTTTCACACTACAGTCTATGCTTTCACATCAGCCTCAGCTGCTTTGTGTTTAGTGCTAATTAGCAAATGTTAGCATGCTGATAACAAACTAAAATACAAACTAAAACAAACATTTTAGTTTGTTAGCATGCTGCTAAAAAAACTAAAATGGAGAACATGGTAAATATTACCTGCAAAACATAACCATGTTAAAAATTGTCATTGTGAGCATGTTAGCATGCTGATGTTAGCATTTAGCTCAGATCACCACAGTTACTAAGAGCTACTAGCAAGGCTTGTTAAATTCTAAACAAACATACACAAATACACAAGATTTTTCAAATATATCAAACACTCATGATAAAATACATTTTCCCTTTGATGTGATTCTACAGTCCAGCACCAGGACTGAATAGGTCGGGGTCAACGACACACAGCAGCCAGGAGCCATTCATCTGCTATGAGAAATGAATGAAACTAAAATCAAATCTAAACCAAGACAACAGAATTTATTTTTGTCCTTTACAAATGTAGAAGGATACTGATCATACTCAACCTTGATCTGCTTCTGTCCAACGTCACCACAATCTACGGCCCAAGTCGACCGTATATAACTTAGTGAGAAATGCCATGGATCAGCTTTTCACAGCGCTGTCAGAACCTTAAAGCCCCTCTACGTGCATCCCAGCGCCACATGTACAGGAGATCAGAGGTTAATGCAGTAACTCTGTGGTTGACCGCTGAGCCCAGGTTCGGTTCGTCATCCACTGTAGACGATGAACCCCGTGGGTGGCCGCGAGAAGCCGAGCGATTCATCAGATGTAACCTTCCACTTGACCTCTCTGGTAAAAACTCTTAGAGCCGATGGGTAATCTAAGCTGAGCGCGGCTGCTCTCTGAGGACTTGTGTAAACAAAAGAGAGCTGGTGTTGCAGAAACAGCCTTCATCGAGGAAATGGAGCAAACTGGAAGAGATGTTAATTTTTAAATAAATAATATATATTCAACATCTTCAGGAAGGACAGAAACAAAGAAATCACTGAAAAAGAAAGCCAGGTGCTCTTGAACTTTGTGCTACCTATTTGGCTTTGTTTGCTCATATACAGTGAATTCTGCAAGCATGAATTTAAGTCAGCAAAAATCAACTCAGAGGAAAAGAAGGACCGTCTTCATTTTAAAATATATCTGCCAGCAAATGTCAGCAGATCCTGTGCTGACATTTGCTGGACTAAAACTAAAAGGAACCGCACATTTTCAGAAGGAAGTCAGGTTTTATAAGTAAGGCCCTAAAAGGTTAAATGTTGTTAATAACTGATATGCAAACTATAGATCTAACCTTGTGCTTGGCTGGACATGTTCCTGGAATTTCTACTATTGTAAATCTTAAACCTGCATTAATTGATTTCTTTTGTCTACGTGAGAGCAGTGGAAACACAGTGTAATCTCGATACTGACATATTATTATCACCTTATAAAGACGAGATGGCTAACATGATGGAAAACAGTCGCTTATTTACAACGAGCGGAGTATATATGTATATATAGTCAGTGTATCACCTGCAGTAGATCCGCCTTAGTTGCGCTTGTGCGTATTAATATGGTAGTTCAATNGGCTAACATGATGGAAAACAGTCGCTTATTTACAACGAGCAGAGTATTCGTCTGGAGTCATGTTTCCGACCCTTTAAAGTGATAGTTTGGGTGATTTGACGTGGGGTCATGTGAGGTACTTACTGTATATATAGTCAGTGTATCACCTGCAGTAGATCCGCTTTAGTTGCGCTTGTGCGTATTAATATGGTAGTTCAACGGTTCACAAAATGTAGTTCCAAAGAAAGGCACACTTCGACGGCAAACAAAGCAGTGGAAATATTCAAAATAAAGCGTACACTTAAAGTGATATTGTTTTTTTCTGTGGACATGTTTTTAAGTGGCTAAAAAAACGTTTTTTTGCCAATGGCCCCGCCCACAGCAGCACATCGCTCAGCTCCTACGCCGGTGCTCCTGCGTGCTTCTACAACCTGGAATCGCGCAAATCCAAATCTACTACAGGTAATACACTGACTATAGATAAGTACCTCACACAACCCCACGTCAAGTAACCCAAACTGTCACTTTAAGAATCTAAGTCTCGTATTCACTCTCCTTTGAGCTGTACTTTGGTTCCCTCCAACTCCAGAAGGAAATATTTGTTTCTTTGGTGAGTTTTTAGAGCTTTTTCACTTCCTGTTGCGTCTCGAAATGTTGTCGAGAGTGAATCCAAACAGTAAAGTTATGGGCCCTTAAACCAAAACAATGAATTTCTGAGAAGCTTTGCAGCCGCGGGGGACTTCAGGGTCAGGTGATAATTATGTGTGGGTTCGTCACTATGAGAGACCACTGTTGAATTACACACATTCATTTGATCAATTATTAATATGAAAAATATTGATCTCCAAAGAAGCCAAAACTTTCAAAAGCAGATGAAAAAATATCCGCTGCGGTCTCAGTAAGCCATCAGAGGCACGTGTACTTTTGTTTTAGGCAGTACAAGGCTGTTCAACACTGTGTCCTTGTCCGTGAGCGCAGTAGACAGGCTCATACACAGAAAAAGGCAAGGACGCTGCCCTAGCCTCTCCTTAGAGCAACAGCCCCGCAACACGCACAAACTGTCTGGAGTCACGACAAGGGGGGCGTGGGGGTGGGAGGTGCGAGGCCATGAATCCTAATGGGAAAGGAGAGAGTGCAGTAGATGGGAGAGGAAAGAGAGAGGAGGGAGGAGGAGAAAGAAATAGAGACAAAGGGAGGCAGGGTTAGGCAGGGAGAGTCAGTTCAGGTTGCAAAGCTGCCCATCTGCAATAAGGTCCCACCCATGTAAATTCTGCTGCAGTAGCAAACCCATCAGACTGCAGAGAGAAGTTAACAGACGGAGGACATGGAGGGCGGAGCATGAATGAAAACAGGAAAGAAAAGATGGAGGAGCTGACTAAAATGAGAGTGACAGAGAGCGTGTTAGAGGGAGTGTGACGGCGGTGGAGCTCAGTTTCCCCCGGTCCAGGTCCTGATCTGCTCATCTGCTCAGGAGAAGCCAAACTAATTTGAGGAGAGGAACCCGCCTCGGGACAAGGAGGGAGGGAGGGGGCTGGCGCAAATCTGCCAGGATGAACGGGACGCTGCCCGACACTTTCTGCACAAATGCGACGTGGCTTCCTTCCCATGAGCGCTGCCTCCTGCCTGTCCCCGTATGGCCCTGCCTCGGCTCATCTGCCTGGGCCTGGAGGAGGCACGTGGACGGACAGGGCGACGTGGGAAGGAAAAATTGAGGGGAGGGAAGGAAGAGGGCAGGAAGAAAGGTGTCAGAGAAGGGAAAGGGGGATGTTTAACGGAGGAGGGGAGAAAGCCAGTGCGGCTCTTCGACAATCTGCCAAGTTACGAAACACTTTGTTATGTAAAAACTCAGCGAAGAAAGAAAGAAAGTAAGTGGGGCAGGGGGATGAGACTGTGAAATTCACTCCATCTTTCCTGTCTCTGCCACATGTAAAAGCGTTGTCAGATGTCACAGATGGAAAACACGTGGAAACAGGCAGCAAACGTCCAGGATGGAAAACAAAACCTTCACTAGATGGCACACAATAACCGTTTAACAACCGAAACGACCCAGTCAGGACTCGAAGCTACTGTTTCCTCGCCTTTACAGCTATGGATATTAGGCTGTTAACATTTCCATTAAGTCTTATTCCTCTTCTGATTTGCCTCCTATTTGCCATTATGGCTGTTTGATATGGCTGTTTGGAGCCGGCCATCAA